GGAAGTGTTTGAATTTGCTTAAATAAAAGATTGAGTTCTGGAACATGCATGAGCTTTTTTTTGCAAGTGTTTAGTGTTTACTAGTTTGGTAACTCTTCTGGAGTCTGTATGCAACCTGAAACAATTAGCCTGGAGAGCTGTCAGCTGCTTTTGCTCATTTCTGTGTGGCGTTGGTGTTGAAATTTGGTAACAGTTTGTGTGCAGATGATGATCATTAGTGCTGTTAAAGTGCTTACTTGTTCATAATTTTTCTCATATGTTTGTCTCTTAAACATGCTGATGATCAGGAGTTGAGACTTGTCCAATCCAAAATTTAAGTCTATTAAAAGGTTTATTGAAGTATGTTGCCTTTTCGGTACCCAAAGCCTCAGGGTACGGTATTTCTTGGACAAAATTGCCTTTTTTCCCCCCCAAAAGTTGAATTATCTGGGTTAAATAGCTGTTAGTGGTCTGAAACAAGAAGGAAGAGTAAGGCTTGCTTAATGAATTTCCATTTGCAGCACAGTATTTTAAGCAGTGCAGCGTATTATCAGGTCTTTTTCACAATGACAGTCTATTAACTGTGCCAGAGCCTCCGGTAGATTCTGAACGCTTTCTGCTTAACCTTTCTAAATAATATGTCTTTATATTTGAGAGACTGTCCATATATAACTGATTTTCTGTACTGTTTTGCTAAAATGCAGCAGTTGCATTTTCTACCTTGTGGAGTTAAGAATAAGTTACCGTTTTACTTGTATGTTAACGGAAATTTAGGATGCTTAGAAGCCCTTTGCTTACTATTAGCGTGTATTATTATGAGACTTGATACTAAAAACTTAGTGCCTAGCGCCATTTCTGTAAAGCAGAGTCCCACTAGAAATATGACCTTCTTCCAGTTCACTGTTAGCTGCAGTTGCCATTGGTGTTTTATTTTTGGTTGAGGACGAGGCCTAAAACCTCACTAAATCTCTTAGATTAGGACAAGATAACACTTTTATTGTACTGGCTGATGTAACAGTTTCTGGGTTAACAGTTTGTTTATACATAAAACACTTAAAATTGAATATATAATTAACCACAATTTGTTCTGTAATGGTGTAGTATCTTAGACTATTTCTGTTAAAATACTATGATAAATTTCTGTGATGCTATGTGTAAACCGGGTTTAGGTGAATGTTAATTTTCTCTTCAAAAAGTTTGTGTCTATGGAGGTTTTTAGTTTATAATATTTTGATTGTTTACCATTAAGGTTCTGTGCTATGCAGCAAATACTAGTTAATCTGATTTATAATATTTTAATCTCATGCAGCAGGTAATCATCTAAATAGTATAGATGCATTTCCCTTACTAAATCAGCCCATTCATATATATGGAATTGATACTGAGAAATTGTCTTATAATCATTTATAGTGTAATGTGTAGAAAATGGAATAAGCGGGGAAGGAGAATTGTATATGTTGTGAGTTGAAGCTCACTGAGCTCTTCCTCCTACAGAGGATCAGGGTGTTGTTATATGTGCGAACTTGTAAGTGTTGCAGAAGCTCGCTCAGATGATCACTTGCAAGCTTAAATATAAAGTAAAAATCTGCATTGCTGCTCCTGTTCCATGTTTTACATCCAACTTAAGGTCACTGTTTTAAGCTCTCTGAGGTGGTGCTCTTCTAATGTGTAGTATTAAAGGGTATTCTTATTAAAATACTGAATGACTTTTGTAGATGCAAATTATTCCTAGTTAAAAAAGGATGGGCTGATAATTGAACTATAATAAAATGTTTGGAATATATGGATTTACTCTTTGTTCTGCCACAGAATTCTGCCACGGTCTTTGGCAAGAGCCTGGAATCCCCTTTTGCTAAAATGACCAACCCCTGTGGACACTTAAGTTTTGAATGTTTTTTGAGGCACTTGAAAAGGTTGTAAGCTTTCAGAGAGTTTTGAGCAACTAACCTTTAAAAGAATTGGAAACTTGAACAAATAGGAAGGTAAGTTCCTAAAAGCATAATCACCTGAAAACATAGGAACTGGTAGGACAGAGTACTTCTTTTTTTAAGTCCTTCAGTGCTACAGCTTAGTCTGTAAGATGGGGAATAACAGAACTTCCAAGTTGCAGTGGGTTTAGAATAAAATGATTTCCAGTTTATCTGGTACTTGAATGTTGTTGTAATGACAGCATGTCAATACAAATAGCTTAGATAACTTAAAATGGAAGTAAAACTAATTTAATTGTCTGTTTCACTCATCAAAATAGAAATGAAATCCATAAGCTGAATACAACTTCTAAAATTAAAAAAAAAGCAACTTACCTCCTTAATGCTGGATGTAGAAAAAAGAAAAGGTATTTTAGAGAAGTTTTATGGGAGAAGGACAGAGAAGCTGTATTTATGTGCAACTTTCTCCTTTAAAAAAAGTTAAGCAGAGATTGGATTCTTACCATTTTTTCACTTGCAGAAAATTTGTAAGCAAAGCTCGGTAATCAAACATGCATGTTTGAAGCTATTATCAGACATGAAGAGAACTGCATTTTCTTGACAAACACAATTTTTGTATATGATACTGGAAACCTGAATTTTAGTGGATGGGAGCTATTTTTATACTGTGGAAGCTTTGGTTTTACATTGTTTAGATATAGTAATACATGTTGCATACCAGATCTTTTTTCTCCTCCTCTGTTCTGGGAAACTTTTCTAACTGGTTTAAATTATGCCAGATCTATTTCTGAGCCTTCCCTTCACCCCCTTCGTTTGAGCGTAGGTTACCAAAGGCACAAGGAGCACATTAGCCTGTGTTAGTTGCATGAAGAGAATAAGGGTTTTTTTGTTTTGTTTTTTAGTGTAAGTTAAGGAGGAAAGCCTGTTTCTATGTAATCCCACTGCATCTAAAAACAAGACTGAATCTCTGCCCTTAAAGAGGCAGTAACATTTTTAAGTAGCTAAAGCAGACAAGTAACTTCCTGCAAATTCCCATTCAAGGTGAGATGAAAAGGACACATGTATATGATCCTTGTAGGGGAATTGTTTTTTTTACCTCTGTGTACAGCGTTCATGATACTTGCTGGGGTCTGATTTTTAAAAAAGGATTTTGAAAAATTGGGAGAGCCTAAGAAGAGAGAAAGAAATGACTGAGCCTTGAAGAAGATGCTTTAAGTTGAGAGAACTCAAGAGCTGTATCTTTGTAGTTAATCAACAAAATTGAGGTGACCTGACATGTTTTAGAAATGCTTTCATTAGGAAAAAAGTACCAGCTCCTTAGTTAATGAAAGACCTAACAGCAGCGTACAGGGGGAAGTTAGTAGAAGAAATTCAAGTGACAGGTCAGCGATACATTTTAACAGTCAAGCTCATGAATCAAGGAGAGCAATAGTCTCTTCATGGATGCCTTCAATCATATAGGTTGTGTTCTGTGTAGGTGTAGCTGTGAAACTGGATGATCTGTACAGATGGTCAGACTAGATGATATACAGGTCAAAAATCTTTTAAGGTCTGCATTACTATTCTGCCATACTACATCTGCTTCCCCCCACTCCCCCCACGCACCTTACTCCTCCTTTCTGTGGCTGTTGGTCTGGTATGAATAATGAGATCCAGAGTTCCTTGACCAACGCAAGGGTCCGAATGTGCAGACCAGCAACTTAGTGGATGACTGGAGGTGTCCTTAGTGATGAGCAGAAAGTATCCTGTGCGTGGCAGAGAGCTTTACTGGGTTTTCCCTTTCTTAGAAGGAAAGCCGTCTTTCAACATTAACAGAAATAGTATTTTTTTTTTCCCAAAGCTTATTTTCATGTAGTAAGAGGACAGAATTCCCATTAAATAAAATGGTATATTTTAGGTCACTTCCTCTGAAGTGACAGAACTCTGCAAGATTTCAGTGGTTGTTAGCTGTTTGCTTTGAATTCCAAAAACTTGCCATCTTTCATGCTATGAGTTATGATTCTGGGTAGAAATCAGGGGTAAGTGCATTTGCTAGATAAGTTATAAACTTAAGTTCCTGGGGTTTTTTGTTTGTTTGAGTTTTTTTGACTTGCAACCTATTCTAATAAGGCATAGCTGTATTCTGAAGGTATGATTCTTATGTTAATCGGAAGTTAATGGTAACAATGCAGTTGTACCCATGCTACTCTGAGACTAACTGTCTTTTCTGAGGTGGTTGACACCACATTGTACTGAAACCCACTACAGGCCTCCAAAAGGATTTTCTTCTTGAAAGTCCTTTGAATTTCCTTCCAGAATAGGATTCCAGAAAGGCAGAGGGCCATGAGGCTAGCTTACTATAGTGCCAATCATACATATGCAAATGTCACTATGATAATTCTGTGGTGCAAATGAGAATTAGCTATTGAGTAGGTTATTTAGGCAAGTGTTTAGTTTCTTTCCTGAAGAATCTAGGAACAATATGTCCAAAAATTAAAAAGTGTTGTGTTAAGATTATGAATCGTTAAAGAAAAAGACTTTCTTTGCCTGCCTCAGAGTTAAGTTTCTCCATCCCAGGCCAAAGAATAAGTGCTTATTTTGGAACTGAAATGAAACATTTTGTGGGCACAGAAAATGCATCCTTCCTGTGTGTTGATTTGCAAAGATGTTGTTTAACTGCTTCTGATTGTCTTAGTGTTTGGAACTAGATTGTTCCACTCCTTTACTTGATGAAATAGTTAACACTTCCACTGTGTGTTTTGGTGCAATTCCCATACAGCAATTATATATCTGGAGTAAAAGACTATCTTCTGCCATCTTCCTGTCTCCTGAAGCTCTCAATGATTGCTTTCTTTCTTCCTTCATTCCTATTCCAAAATCTGTCAGTTTGCTTCCTGCTGTATTCTACTGTTCCCAGTCTAGCACTCATGTAGAGTTCTACCCCATGAATGGAGGTGACTATAAAGGTTGTGCCTATGCTTGTGTACCTGCCTTGACCTCCTGCAAATCATAGTCTGGTCTGTTGAAAGTGGAATTGGTTTTTCTTACTTTGATGTGTCAGACTCTAAACTACACCAGTTCCTGATCTGTTAGCAGTGTAGCCATCTCTGAAAAATGGGAGGTTTGGTAGATTGTCAGGCACACGCTTGTGTATCTGACCCACTGAGTTTATCGCTAGGTAAGCTGCCTTGCTTTAAGAGTTGCCTTAGTGGCTGATGCAGCACTACCTTCTCTAAGAGCAGTCTGGCTCCACCACGCTGTTGATAATAAAAGACACAACTGGAATTCTGTGATATTGTAGAAACTGAATGTGTATTAGAAACTGTTTTATGGCAAGATTTGTGAAAAAATTCAATTGGCAATACTGTAGAACTACATAATAAAAATAGAATTGGAAGGTTGCCATGCTTTTTTGGCCATTCTTTCAACTGATTGATTGTTGCTTGTTGCTGTCCTTTATATTTTACTACTTGTACATTTTGTCAGGTGAGATAATAAAGATCTATGAAGTCATTTCAAAAAAGTTTAAAAAATTATGAGAGAATTAATCGCTTATAGACCACGAGCGTAAAAGGAGGATGCTCTTTTCGGTCTTAAGTATTCATAAGGCTTGCTATATTCAATTTCATTAGCTTTACTTTTTTTTTTTAAAAAAACAGAAACCTTCATGAAGTTCTTTACCAATAAAAATTAATTTTTATTGGTAATTTCCATTTTTACTACTGGATAATGGTATATAAACTGTGGATGATTGAATATTTCAAAGAAATAAAAATAACATTCTGCTCTATTTTTCAGAGAATGCAGAATCAATTGATCTCAAACAGTTTTTCGACCTACATTTCTCACATATATATTATGTGTTCTTTGAAAATTTTGTGACTATTGAAGTAGGCCTTAAACAAAAAGGTACGTGTTTTAAATATAACACTTTTTTTTCTCCTGTCCTTGTGCTTATGTGTCCGTGATGGGAAATGACATTTTTAGCTGTGGAATATGCATGATACCAACAGTGCAGACAAGGGCAAAGCAATTAGAAGTGTGTGCCGAAGGGATGAGTAAGGAGAGTCTGTTCTCTGCTGACTGTTTTTGCCCTTTTGCAAAATGAGGATCCTTAAGCTGTTAGGCTTTTTGTGTTCTGCAGAATCATTGCAAGTTTTGCTTTGCCTGTATAAGTTGATATTTACCAGCTGTTGCTTCTATAATAGAAAGTTATGGTTTATAACATTTACAGTTTGTGTAACTACAAAATATATCTGTTTTGCTGCAAAATTAATATAAAATCACTTTTATAGTTGTAGAATCACTTTTATGGTTCAAGGACCTTGTTGGTGATCTTACACTTTCATTATCAAAACAGAAGTTAATCTTTTTATTTTTACTTACATCTAGGTCACAAGTCTCAGAGGGAAGAATTAGATTCTATTCTTTTTATTTTTGAGGTAAGATAACTTGAAAATTTCTGTATGAGTTTTTAACCTTGAATTTAAGTCCTGTTAAGTAATAACAGTGTAGCTATCCTAAAGTTGCCTAGAAATATGTTTTACATCTAAATGCATTCATTTCTTTTGCTTAGAGTTGAATATATGCACTTTACATGAGAAGAAGAAAAAGAACTTAACTTACACTTTTGAGGGAAGATGTCTTAACTGGAAAAACATATTTTCTGCCCCTGTAGATAGATCATAAGGGGTTTTTTGTTGTTTTCCCCCTGAATTGTGCACTCTGAAATTCTTATAAAAGTGATCTCTGATTATTCTTTTTGATTGCATGTTATCCCTGATTTTCTCATAATGCTGCTGCGGAATTAGTTTCGGTATCTTGTTTCTATTTTTAAAAAGAGCCATTATTTGAAAATAGTATTACCCTTACCAAAAGTGTACCTTGACTTAATTAAGATGACTTAGAAACTAATTGAATTAATTCGGACCATTCCTGAGCAGAGGCAGTAGTTTAGTTATAGCTTAGAATGTCAAGTTTTGTCTTTCCTGTGTGATGGAGGTTTTTAGTTACAGAACCAGGATTGTATTTTGGAAGTTATGACACCCCCCCCCCCCCCCCCTACATAGAGCAAAAGTCTGTGTGAGAGCTTTTTTTGAACCTGTACAGTTGTTAAATTTGAATGTTAAAGTATGCAGGTGCATCCTTTTACACTTCTTAAAGAATTTTTAAAATTGAAAGTTGCTGAATGCTTATCACATGGTTGAATACAAATGAGGGATTTTTTGAGTAAGGCACACTGCAAAAAACTATAGGGTTAGCTGTTACAAGGGGAGAGAATCTGAAGACAGCTAGTTGATTTGTTCACTGTTTTTCACTGTAAAGTGATACTAGGTGACTTGTACTTCAGAAGCAATTGCACAGGCTTCTAGAGGGACAGGGTAAGTAGTTAATTTGGCAAATTAGGCTGTTTACCTTTTGTTACTGACCCTAGCATGTAATGTGAGTGAAATAGCTAGATACCTAAATGTTGAAGTGCTGCATAATTTTAACTGCTCTCTTCACCAGCTGTGCTCTGTTCCTTATGAGCCGAAAAAAGATTTTTGGCAAATCTTACTACAGAGGTTTTAGACCATTATTGCCCCAGCTCTTTTCTTTATTGCTTTGCTGTAGCTCATTACCCCTGCTTTGAGAAGGCTGAAGTAAATGTTTGCCTGTACCACAGAGGCAAGATCATAGCTGAGTATCATAGCTTAAGCCACTATGAAAACGGAATTGACCTAATACAATCTGCTGTGCAATACAGTCTCAGAGCAACTGAGAGACAGAGATTCATCCCATTCCACCCCCTGTGTAGTAAGCAGTAGCATCCAGCAGAGAGGCAGTGGAGCCAGATAAACTGCAGTAATGTCTTAAATCTCTGATGCAGGACTCTCCAGACAGTCTGTAAGAGCCTTTGGGCTTCTTAGCTTTAGGAGTGGGATTATCTTGAAAAGACAGTAATGTTTCCAAGGAAACCAATATGGAAGCTTTTTTTAATCAACTCCTCCATTTCCAGTCTGTGGGCTTCGTGAGAGTGCTATTTAGCTTTCTGAATGTGATATCTGCAGCATAGATCCCTGGGTTGTTTTTTTTTGTAGAAAATTTTGCAACTTCTTCCAGAAAGGATTCATCAGAGATGGCAATTTCATAGTATTGGTAAGTTGATTTTCCTCCTTTTTTTTTTAATTTTTTTTTTTTTTAATTAGGAGCAATAGGTTTGTACTGCTCATTTCCTTAACCTTTAAGTGGCGTAACAACAATAAAAGGCTTGCAAGTTAACAAAATAACCAGTTGTATTTTATGGGACACTTTTCTAGGTAGATTTCAAGCTGGGAATATGGAAATAGAGCATTGGGAGGTCTGTATTTTTTAAAGTGGAACATTGATAATAAAGGCATTGGTCATTTACTTTATACATACACATGCGTACTCACACACCCCTTCCAAAAAGTCCTTGGGAAAATATGTTATTGGTTACAAGGAAGCTGTGAAAGGTGACCTTTTTTTTTTTTCTTCTTCTGGCATTGAGAGTTGCCTGAGGAAATCAAGTTCACCAAGAGTAAACTGGAGAGTGCCAAGGACTTGTTTAAAAGATACTATCAAGTCTGACCGAGAACTCTGACATTTTACCTAATAAAAAACAAAAACCAGTTACTTTTGTTTTCTTTTCAGGGTTGATTTTAAAGAAGCTTCTTCACACTGGAAATTCATTAAAGGTATAGGGAAAAGTTGCATGCTACTTAATTTTGTCTACAATATGTAAAAATATCAAAAGAAAAGGGAACATCAAGGAGTGTTTTTATTGTAAAAGTACAGGAGTCAGAACCAGATCGTGACTTCTAGTTGTTAGCTTTATCTCAGTAGAATTACTTGCAGTAGTAATATGATTATACAGAGTACCCAAGTTAAGAATGTGCACAAGTGATTGAAGAATTTTGTTGTAAAGTAGAAATGAGCCTTGCCTGTTCATTGTTGGGGCAAGGAAACTGTCTGGTCTGGGGGCTTGGGCTGTCTTGGAAGTGGGAAAATTATCTAGGACAAAGAGACCACCACCTGTTGGTGGGTAGTATGAGAACAGTTGACCATGGGGCAAAAGGTGCTGCCTAAGTGTAGTCTTGGTTATGCTGCAAATAGCTGCTCCACTCCTTTATACAACACCTGCAGGCTTCACTAGTGTTGAAGCTGTCCAGTGTGAGAGCCAGGAGAGGACTGCACTAGGGCTCTTTACTCTTCCTTGAGGAGGGAGGTGAAGAAAGTAGAAAAGGGGAGAAGGAGTCCTGCTGCTGCAGAAATCTGTCTGTTACCATGATTGACGGACTCATCTGGTAATCTGGACTAATCTGGATTTTGTGAAAGATACAAATGTCATCTTGCATTGCTATAGGTAAGCAAGTGACTACACACATGCTGATTTCCTTCCTCCCCTATTAGGGAAGGACCTGTAAAAGAGATTCTGTAGGGCGAACGTGACAATGTGAAGATGTCAGAGTTGTCCTTGCATTTCAGCAGCAATAGCCAATGCAGTAGCTTGGCTCTTCTGATTCCTGGTGGTCGTACTGTCCATCTGTTCTTCTCTCTTCTACCTCTTGCCGCCTTTTCCTCCTCCGTCCAAAGCAAATGGATATATTTTTGTATGTTCTGAGCCAAGTTAACTTGTTCTGCTGTCTTTTTTTTTAAAGATACGTCGAGAAGGTGTGCGTCTCTTTCTCTTGTGGCTGCAAGCACTTCAAAATAACTGCAGTAAAGAACAATTATGGATGTTTTCTTGCTTGATTCCTGGATTTTCATCACCACAATCTGAATATGGCCCCCGAACTCTGGATAATCTCATTAACCCTCCACTTAACATTCAAGAAAGTAAGTAATTTGGTAACATTACTAAATTCTTTACTTGTTTCAATTCTTGGGACAGGAAAAGCAAGTTGAAATAGCAAAGGTAGCATAAATTTGTACCCAGGGAGGTTATGGAGTTTTTGGTGAATTACTTGGCGTTTCAGCTGATCCTTTTCCGTAAGATGTGGCAGTAAGTATAAGATACTGTTCGGCATTACCTCATGAATCTCTCTACAGCAGGAAAGGAGTAACAAATCTAGAAGGGGATTTAGACAGCACAGAATTACAAAGTGCAGAGAGTGAAATGCAAACCTCTAACTGCAGAAATGAGAGGGAGGGAAAAAAAGAAAACACTAACTAGCTTCAGTACAAGCAAAGTATAGAGCTAAAACTTCATGCCAGTGTAATTGGTCAACTGCTAAATGAAGACAAGGGTGAAAGACGCAAGCAAAGTGTGGCATTTGTAAAACATAAACGTGACGCTGCCTAAATTTCAAAAGAAATGGGTAACATCCTTCAGAAATATTGGATCTTGGCAGGTAGACTCCCAAAATCCATAGGGAGAGCTTGGTTATTATCCTTTGTGTTCTTTCATATGTAAGAAATATATTCTATGGTATCTTATTAGCTAAACACTTCCTAATTTTCATTAATCTGTGGGTAGTTTGTTTTGTCTGTAATTGTCTCTGCTTACCTAAGTAAATGTTGCTATAACTTGGTAGACGCTCATATACTGAAAGGAACAGTATAAATGTAGAAATGGTATAAATGTAGTCACACTTTTGTTTTTTTGTTTTTTTTTTTAAAACTACTAGCCCAAGTGACTATAGAGGAAATCACTCCACTTGTTCCTCCACAGTCAGGAGACAAAGGACAAGAAGATTTAACAAGCTACTTTTTAGAAGCACTTTTGAAATACATAGTAATTCAGGTATGTTCTATAGGTTGCAGGCAAACAAATGTAAAACAACTAACATCTGTTTGTCTGTTACAGAAGAATAACTTACTAGTAACTCTGGAAGCATTAATAAAAATATTTTTCATGTCCTCCCCCTCAAGTCCTTCATAAAAAGCAAATTATCTTTAGAAAATATTTGTTTATTATTTTGAGTGAAGATCCACAGATCTGTTACCAGAGTCTTCCATCAGATTGTAGCATGGAGAGAAAACCTGTCAGTCACTGCCAGACGTGCTGGTGCTCTCTCCCCGTTTCACCTAGCACCATGTCCTTAACCTGTGGAAGGATCAGCTAGTCTCTTCTTTTTTGTGGGGATTTTTTTGGTCGTCAGGGACGTTGCTTTCCAAACTAAGATAAAACTTCTAATTGAAAGCACTGAGTCTGTATGATACAGACTTTTAACGAGTCCAAGGAAACATTTACTGCCCTTTTCCCTTAATCAACAGGATGTTTACTGCCCAGATCTTGCAGGGCTGATGCCATGACTTCTGTAGGTCTCTTACCTGTAATTCCAGGGATTTTGATTCTGAGAGGCTTTTAAATTCAGGCATGGTATAGTACACTGCCCAGAGACAGCTTGAGATTACTCTTACACCTGAGCAAGTCAGCCCTTTCAAACCGGAAGCAATGGGAAGCACAGTACGTACTTGGAATACTTCAGATCTGACAAGGTTTATGACTTAGGCATTGCTTGAAAGTAGCTGCACTGCTGGGATTACACTGGTTTAGTTGCGCTGCTACAAGAACACCAGGTAATAAATTCTGCAGAGCCTAAAATACAGATTATGGAGTTAAACAGTCCACAGAAAATGAATACTTGCGTTTCGAGGCCATAGAGTGCAAAGTAGATGTCACTTATCCCGTACTATGGCCTTCCCCTTGCATTTTTTACGTTTCCCTGATAACCATCTATACTTCAAATGCCCTAGGCACTCTTGTCATTTCCTCTCCTATCAAAAGCCATGTGACTAAGCTGTTACGTTTTGTATAGTTCATTTACTGTGCAGTTAGCACATGCTTCCTGTAAGCCTGCTCTGCTGTCATGTGCTCAGCAAAATATTTAGCTGCATGACATACTGTAGGTGTTCCATGGCACTGCCTTCTGGGTCAGACTTGTCCAGCAGAACCCAGTTGGGCGTCTCTCCATAAGTTCTTATGCATGCTTTTGCAGATTGAGATAAAGTGGCTGGACAGTGGCACAAATATGGCCTCCATAAACCAAATTTTTTCATGGCCTCCCTATATCTGCGTTATTCCAAGGTCACAGAGTATGACTGCAACCTCATTTTGTTACTTCCAGCACCTCCTGGTTTGAGCAGAGGTATCATACTTGTCATCTACAGTGAAAGCTTAATGATGACTGTTGGCTTCAAAAATGTAAGGTGTTTGTTTTGAAGTCAACAGCCTTATCCAAATTTAAGTGTAATAGTATTTATTAGAGAAGTCATTTAGACAAGTGTCATAGAATTTGTTTTCTAGGTTAATGGAAGATCTCTATTTTGTTAAACTCTCTTCAGAAGCACTGATAACTTCAAACGAAATAGTCACTACTTTGGTATTAAGTTCTGCTAAAGGACTGCAGATCACTAAATACTATATGTTAGACATCCATTCTATTCACTTCTTTTGATAGAATCTCTCTTCACATTTTAAATGCCTAAAAATAAATGAATTATATATATAAATAAATTTTCTGACGTTAAGGTTGATGCTGCTTTTCATTGTAAGGGCCCATTTCTCTGAAAATATCACAGCAGAACTGTGGACTTGGGCATAAAGAACAGAAAAATGCTTTCCTGAAAAATTTCCATTATCTCGAGTGATAGATTTCACAGGTTAGCCCATTCTGCAGAACAGGGGTGGAAACTGGATGTTGGGCTTATTATTAAGGAGAACTTAACCATGCTTTTCAGTAGGAAAATATTCCCTAACAAGGAAGGGTTAGCAACACCTGTGATCTATAAAGTAGATTTGTGTAACTCAACTTTAAAGTTGTATCTTCTGCTGCTCATGGTTGACAACAGATTTTTCTTTCTTATTGCCCACCATGCAGATGAATGCAATTATGTAGTGTAATGAGTATATGGATACTTGTTACTTGAAACAAATTTTCGGGGAAGCAAGGGTAACTGTTCTCATAAAGCATTTTGAGAACAGTTTTATTACATCCAGTCCATCATTTCAGGTTTACTCCTGACAAGGAGTCAAGATGGCCATAAAAGCGTATTTAGTTCTGTTGACTTCAGTATTTGGTGTGCTCAAGTTTATTTTGAAGCAAGGCTTTGAGGGAGAAAAGTCTTTGCATTTCAATTAATGTTTCCCAGCTAGTTTCTGTTCCACCTTTCCAAAAGTGTTTATTAAAATGCGTATGATCTAGTTCTAAAGCAGGAACATATAATGAAGCAATTTCATCAATTACTCCCTCTTCCACTTCTGGATGTTGCAGTAAAACTACTTTACACAATTTTTTTTTGTAGGTTAAGAGTTTAGAATGGAAGAACAAGGAAAACCAAGAAAAGGGATTTTCATTTTTGTTCTCAAACTTCAAGAAATATTACTTGCCTTCTATTTTCCCAAACATCTGTAAGGAGACCAGCTTGTATAACCCTGTACTTGGTAAGTGTTAACTCAGTTGATAAAATTACCACATTAACTCTAATACTGAACGTAGCAAAGCAGTTCTTCTTTTGAGTGATGTTGCCCATGAAGAATGTGCTTCAGAAAAGAGCTTGTTATGGTTCCTATTCGTGATTTTCAGTTCTCTATTCATGGAGGCCCCTGACAGCATCACTAATTTGAGTTGAGCTGCTGTATTAACCACATTCAATTAAATTAAGTATTCTTATAAAACAGTTTTTCAGTGTAACTTCTATGTTGATGAAAGTCATGCTCAGAAGATGAACTGATTTAAGGGTAAAAGGTGTTAGTGTGCTGTTCTTTAGGGGATATTAGCATTATCTGCATAGAGTCATAGTTTTTGGATCATACGATGCATGCTTAATTTTCAGTCAGGCAAAAGTAGTTATGTTTTTGTCAACTCTATTTTGTCAAGAGGTTGTGATAGAGAGGTTTTAACAGTCTGTCTCTAAGGTTGATCCTGCTAAAATGTATCTTTTCAGTACAGAGATGAGAATTTTATAAAGTGTTTGCTAAGCAAGCATGACTTGAGCTTTGTCTAGAGGTTTTAAGCCCGTTCTAAACTAGGAAGCTGTTTGCATATCTTGATTTCTGCTAACTCAGGTTTACGTGCATTAATGCATAAATGGGCTATAAGTCAGAGTTACTCTTGTGTGCAAATTGTTACCCTCTACCCAGGCTTTAAGCTGCTATTTCATTACTTGCGTAACATGGGCACTGCACAGCTCCTCTTGCCTGTTGATGCAGCATCTCACAAGGGTTAGCTGTGATCTCCAGCCTCAATTTCAAATTCTAAAATTAAGCTAACAGGAAAGTATGTTGGAAAAAGTCTCTTGTTTCCTGCCCGTCCAATGTTCATGAGTAGTTGGATTATGGCTTTCTTCAGAGGCGGATGTTTCAAAACCATGTTCTTTTGGGAAAGACAGTGAACCTTCTCGTCTGGGAAAGAAGAAACAGTATAAGCCCATCCATAGGCAGCTGTACAATGAGAGTTGTGTGAGGAGATTGGACAGGTTCAGTGATAAAATAGCTACAAGTGAGATGGTAAACAATGTTGGGAAAAGCGAAGCTGCTGCCACTTGAGGTTCTGCAACAATAAATATGGAAAAAGAATGATTTCCCTTTCTATGAAGATCTTGATTCAGTCTATCTTAGAAGTAGTACCACAGTCCTCTCTGCAACGTCTTCTGTCAGCCATAAACAAGAAAATTCCAAGGCCCAGTAAAGAAGAGAGCAAGGGGGAAGAAGAAATAGGCACAGATCTCCAAGACTTCTCTGGTCAGCCAATCAGTGTCTTAAACTGCGTAAAATCAGAACCAGTCCTGAGAAGTTTGGGAAAAGTACAGTAATGAAAACAACAGAAATGCTGGTAAGTAGAACAGTCTTTTCTCCTCAAAGAAGTCCTTCTCTGGCATGCCTCTCCCCGCCCTATTGTAAAACAATCCTATTCCTGCCTCTTATGAACAAAAGAATTGGCTGAGATAATTTAGGCAGAAAACACTGCAAACTTGTACACTGAGCCTGTTGCTTTTAAAAAAAAAAAAAAAAAAAAGTTCTTATGCCACTGGTCTAATGTTTGATTTGGAAAAAGTCATGAGGTACAAATCAGTGCAGTAGTTTTCTTAGGCATTCATTGGTACGTGGGTTTTGCTGGAGATAATATATTGGATTGAGATTTTTCTGTTAAGGCAGACTGGCAGATAGGTAAACCAGTTATGGTAATGAGCATCCTAGTTACAAGCAACTAGTATTGCAGATTCTATCTTGAGTCAAACAAGCTGATAAGGGCGCTACAGTCAGTCCATATGTGTGGTGGTGAGGGTTTTCTTGTTTGTTCATTGTTTTTTGTTTTATGTTTTTAGCCTCTTTAACATCTATCAGATCCTGTAGGACAGTATTTGGAAACTCTTCTGTAGGAACCTTGCTGTCCTATCTCTAGTTCTAAGGACATTGTTTTTTCCATCATAGTGAAATTCCTTTCTATGTCACTTCCAAGCTTTTTAGGTAGGCCTCTTCATTTACAGGCAAATAGCAAACAAGATGGGCTGTCCTCTGCTTCTGGGCAGCTCTTCATTCCTTCTGAGCCCTTTATTGCTCTCAGAAGTTAGGAGCTATCTCAGCTGCACCTATCCATGACGATATCTGTTTAATTTTGCTAGCCTTTTCATTTTCTCTTCTGTGTGTCTTCCATCGCCTACAGTTTCTTGCCCTTTTTGGCTTAATCACATCTTATAAAAACAGACAGCTTACCTTTCTGATTTACACCAGTATGCTATAGAACAACCTCATTCTTTGTGAATTTAAACAACAACAAGAAGTCAATCTTAACAGGCTTACTATTTTGCTTTGGTTCTAGGTCAGTGTCCTCACCTGGAGCCTTGACACCTTCCAAGACTGACAGAAGTGTGAAAATACAGAAGATTGAAAATGGAAGATATATTTGAGGAGTGGCTGCAGAATATAATGCTATTGAGAAGGGACAGACTGGCAGGATGTTCTTGGAGGATATTGTAAAACCACAGGAGACAATGCTGCAGAGGCGTGTTTACTGCATGTCTGCTGGATGTTTCATCCTTTTGAAAATACTATGAGTCCTGTTACTGTATAGTCAGTATTGCAGTTGGTAGATACCAAAGAGAACTATGATTTTGTGTTTTTAAATATTGTGCTATCAGGCACTTATTTTTTTGGGGGGGGGAGGGGGGGACTAACTAAAAACTGTTTCTTCTGTTATAAATGCTTTCCAACAGTATTTTAACAGATGGTGCTGTTTCAGATATATTAATATCTTCCTGAGCTACTGATTTACACAGAATGAAAACAATGTACTGTTTTTTGTTTCTAGTAAATAAAATCTTCCTAAGTTTGGAAAAAAAAAAAAAAGTATTCTGTGTATTCATAACTAAGTCTGAAGTAGATAATGTACAAGAGTTAAATCATCTTTTTCCTCTAAAAATAATGGTTCCATTAAAAATAGTGGATGCAATTCTACAGTGTTTTCTGGAAACGTTCCTCAGTTTAACAGCATCATGATGAGTTTGTCACTGCTTTTGTATCTGACTGTTGAAAGGACACTGAGGTATACCACATTGGATATCCTCAACAGTGGTGCTGCATGTTTTGTTATGTATCGCTAGTGTTAACAGGAAAGCCTTAGCAGCAGGGTGACAGGTAGGCTGTGTCTTGACTTCAGTGTCAAAAAATGAATATATGATTGTTGAAGTCAACTGTCTAGCAGTTGTTTATTTCCTTGCTGCTGTCCGGATTTGTTCCTCTAGATTATGGCACCGTAGCCTGGCAGAAGGTTTGCTGGGTCCCTTAAAATAGTTGTTGACCCAGCATTAGGAGCATATAGTTAGGGAGAATTGTTCTCATTCGTAGCTTTTTTGGAATAGCTATATTCTTCAACGTGACTACTTTGCATCCTCCCTGACACCCTGAATTAACATCTTTGAGCTGCTTTCTGACCTACCAAAGCCTATAAAAGCATGGAAAGCATCTCTTATAACACATTCCAAGCTCTAGAAGGCTTGAGACAGTGCTGAAATACTGTGATCCCCCTATCACTCTCATTTTCCATGCCTTTAGGTTTTTTCTTTTTTTGCATGCTGTTAGCAGATAAAGTCATAGTAGTAAAACCCCAATGGCGTGACCTGCTCTTGACAGACGAGTCATCTGTTCTCGTGTAAACTTTCATCCTCTTCTTATGTCAAATTGCTCTTCTGCACTGAAGAACAAGAAATGAGGTTGGCACGCCACTCCCAGAGAAATGTTACTTGCAGCAGACATTCTGTAACCTCTTCAGGTTGTTGATAACTTGTATTGCAGCACTGTTCTACACCTTACTTTGGGTTGTGAAACACAGAAATAACATTTTGCAGGGTTGAGGTGCCTGATACAATACCTGGAGTTCAACTGGCTGATGCATATGCTTGCAGAAGTGTGTGTTATGCTCCACCTGTTTTTCTTTCTGCATCTTTGTAACCCTTTCACTGCACATATGGCTACTATTCCAAAGTTGTATTACTGAAAATGGTCTAGTTTTGCTGAAGCAGATTCAGAAGTACCTATGTCAGTGACAGGGATGCTGACAGCGTCAAAGTAGAGAATCAGAAGAGCTATGCCATTCTGAACCATTGTGTAGGCCATGCAATGGAGAAAATGTAGGCTATAAACCCCCAAAACAATCACAGTTCCTTCAGAAAAAGATTGGCTTCCCGCTGGTCATCACTCATTGCGTTCCCCTGGACACTAGTGTGGGAGCTAGTGCCACAGAACCATCTTTCAGCTGAGTCATATGAAGATGCAAGTGCACTTGCTCTGGCAGTACAGTACTGTAAAGATTTTATGCCAGGGAAATTTTCTAGTGCAGATGTGGCATTAGATGAAGCTGTGAGACCAGATGGCTTCTGGAGGAGAGTTTCTCACTCTTCTATTTCTCTTCATCTATCTTAGGGCCAGAAAAGGCTGTATTTATTGCAACTGTTATTATACAGTTTGGAGTAAAAGCATATTTAGATGGTAGGATCTGTATCAATGAAGAACTGATAGCCCTCATAACTGAATCGGTTGTTCCACCATGAATGGCTGCAGACCAACATAGAGACATTTCTAGGAATGCGCTAGGAAGTGTGGTGGTCCGCTGTTTCTGAGCTGCAACTGTTCTCCCAGTAGGTTTGGTAGTAGAAGATAAGTTGTCTGTAGGGCTTTTAAATGACTCTGTAAAATTGATACATTTCACGTATAAATTGTTGCTTAATAACATAACTATAAACACATCTTAACAGTCAATAGATATGGCAATATCTTCATTCTATATGAAAATAGCTTCTTGCGTAGGCCACGTTCTAGTCTAGGTAACAGTTGTTTTTCTACTTAAAACTTCTTTGTAGTTTCCATGAAAGCATGAAGTAGTGAGTTAGTTTTGCTATTGGATAGCTGAGATAGCTGAGATTTTTCTTTAATTGAAATTGTGGCAATTAAATACTAAATACAGCATGTAGCTTAAAAAAAGTTTCATCTTGACAGAAGAGAACGCAAAGATTTTTCACTTGTGCAGGAAAAAAATGAAAACAAGACTGTAAGTCCATACAAATTGCTTTCAGATAAAAAATGGAGAGTTTTGCATAGCAAAAAAACCAGCCACTGTTTCTTGGACCGTAAATGTAGTTTCTCCAGGAAAAACACGTAGCCTTTTGAAGTTGTGTGTCTAGCCTTGGGATTACCTATCTCATGTTTATTTCAGCCCATTTTGAGATGAATTGTGCAACAGCGAACATCAAAACACAGTGCCTCTGAAAGTTCACTTGTACTGGTTATGGTTTTAAGCTTGCTTATGTATATGGAGCTTACTCTCTGCATATATTTTAAAATGTTGCATTTAGAGATACCACAGATGAGACCAAAGCCACACTATGTAATGGTTAAGAAGGATGCTGAAACCAATGAAGCAATATATTGCACAAAGGAACCCTTCATTAAGGCTCGTGTTATTGTTATTCGATGGTTGGTGTCTTTCTGGCTTGAGCCAAAACCTCATACAGGACCTCATATTCCTGGGATAGAAGGTGAAAATGTGCCAAAGAATATTCAGGTAAAACTAAGTACAAAGCAAAGTTTATTTGTTTCTATATTTTTGTCTTAATTGTATCATTGGTAGTATGTGCTCCTCCAATAGTTATACCTAATGAAGAATAAAAAAGATTTCTAAATAAACTCTCTACTTATTATTTCAGTTTAGAAGGACTCGCTAGACTTTTAATTTTTTTAAATTTCTTCTAAATTATTTTGTTTTTACCAAGTAGGAATGAAATGTAGTGAGTCTTATCTTTTTTTCTGAATTCTTTATGTTTTAAGGAATATTCAAATTGTATTACTAAAAATGAACTATGAAATACTCTTTAATTCTTGTTTCAGAGAGCAGCTGCTAGCATGGCTTCAAGGGAAGACAGCAAAAATGACAATGCGGATAAACAGGATAGAAATGCAGAGCCAGAACAATCTCATTCTAATACAAGTACTCTAACAGAGAGAGAGCCAAGTTCTTCCAGCCTCTGCAGTATTGATGAAGAGCATTTAACTGACATTGAAATAGTCCGCAAAGTTTTTTCTTCCAAAAGAAGTAACGTTAACTTTCTAACTGAGATTTTTCGGCAGGTAAAGAACTCTATATATAGAGTGCAAAAATATTTATTGTTTTTCTGTAAACTATCATTATGTCACAGGTTTGTTTCGAGTATATGTACTAAACCGAACATTTATATAAATGTGCATTTTTTTCTGTCTTCATGCCTTTAAGACGTTAAGAATTGAAAGGGGAAAAATTCTGTAATACTTGCCACATAAAATATCTCCAGTTCCTGATTTTTTTTTTAATTGTATTTCTTTAATAACTAGTTCTACAACATTAAGCTTGGACTTCACAGTTCCCCATAGACAGGAGTGTTTGATCATTTCATGCATCAGCCCCTAGGCTGTCAGAGTTTGTAGCTAAGCATATTAAAATAAGTCTCCTGTGGAAGCCTGGAGCAGTTCGAGAGCTATTTTTGGACCATCTGAATATCCTTACCTTGATAGTGTTCACCAGAAGAGTGGGACAGGTGGCTAGAGAAGGCAACAACTTCTGCTCTCTGACTTTACCACAAGGAAAATTCTGTCAAAGCCCAGAAACGTTGAGCATATTCAAAACAGCATTTCTCAGCTAGCAACTTTATTAAACAAATAAGTTTAAACTAAGAATATATACCAGAATGTAAAGCATTTATTTATGACGTGAAGGTCTATTGCTTTCAGTTCAAAGCAGGAGAATGGAACAAGATAGACCTCCTTTGTGCTCCTCACTATAAATAAAGAGGTGAGGAGATTTTTCTGGACATTTTTAGAGAAAAGATACACTAACTTTCTGTTGAAATGCAAGTTACTAAAATTAGTTTAAACAGTGGAAATCTAAACATTTAAAAGCTCCAGTATTTCTGGATGAAATAGATATTATTGGATGAGGCAAATGTCAAAACTAAACCACCTACAGAGAAAGTCAGTGAGCTTGGACACATTGCTGAAGGAGGTAATGGAGTTAATCCAAATTTAAACTGGTGCCCGAGGATTGACAGAGCCTGAGACATTGAATGTGGCTTCTAATTTATTGATGCATCTGTTTAGAAACTAAAAAAAAAAGTTGAAAGCATACCCCAGGTAATATTCTTGATGGGTCTTTTTTCAGTCTCTATTTCAGTTTCGTGTGTGGTTATGAGATCTTGTTTAAGTGGCAGTTTATCATGAATTTTTCAGTGAAAATTCATTTCCAGTATGCCAGATGTTTTTAATGTTTCTAAAACATTAGGCCTAAGTTGTTCTGTCAGGATGAGGTTTCATTTGTGCTGAGTAGTAGGAAGATTGCCTTTAGAGGAAAAGCGTTATGCGTTTTGGACTCCTGGGACAAAAAATTTACTTAGGGTTCCAGAAGACTGTTAGATTGATTGATTATTTGTGTGTGATTGATCAGCTTGTCAGGTTGAATTCTATGAGCTGCAGAATTTTTCTTAGAGGTAGTAATATGCTATTTGTATGAAACGTCCAGAGAGAGAACGAACCATGTGTTTCAAGTGGTCACTCCTTGAATGCATGGGCATTGCGCTTTCAGGATTCACATCATGGATTCCATAAAACCGTGTGTTAGGGTAGCTTATCTATTGGTTTAGGACAATTGGGGCGTTGTGGTCTTTGTTAAATATATTTATTAGTTAATACCTGACTAACGTTAAAAGCATCTGGTCTCTACTTTTTACTAACACAACAGAGACATGAAACTTCCTGAAGAGGGCAGCAATTGGCCATCAGACTGGCTTCTCAAATGCATAGATTTTTCCAAACAGTACCTCTGACCAAGTTTTTCAGAGAGTCATTTGTTTTATGGCTACTGTTTTGTAAAATCTCATTTAGATGAAAGTAAGATATGCAGCTATTAATAATGTATGTCGTTTGAATTTGTATCAGACACTCTTTGTGTGCTCTTCATGAGTGTTTGGGCATTGATTTCAGCAGTCTAGATATCAAGTAGGTCCACCTGTATTGACTCTCATAACTGTCTCTGGCAGTGAAATTTTCAGACAAGATACCTTCTTGACAAGTTTTCTGGTTAAAACATATTTTTGTTCACCTGTCCACACACCTTTGGATTAATACAGGTGAAGGAAGCAATCAAACATTTAGGTTCAGGATAATTTACTTTTTTTTTTAGGCTTCTCAGCTTTATGCATTCACTTTATACTTGCAACTGTTCAATTCTAGCTATAGTTTGAGGCAATATAGTTTAGTTCCACCTTGATTTCAAGTACTTGAACTGAGCTTTTGTTTTATTTTGTTTTTTCTACTGCCAGGCATTTTTGTTGCCAATTTGTGAAGCGGCTGCCATGAGGAAAGTGGTAAAGGTGTATCAGGAATGGATTCAGCAAGAAGACAAGCCTTTATTTATGAAAGAACCTGAAGAAATAATGCAGTGTACAACTATAGATTGTGATGAAAATGCTGTAGAGCACAATTCTTCAGAGAAAGCAAAAGAAAGAGAAGAGGTAAAAGGAAAAAAAAAGTCATAGCATCTTATTGTTAAAAATAGCATCGTAATAAGGTTGTTTTAATTCTAGAGCGCTGTAATACATGACCTGAAATTCCGTATAGCATTTTGATTAATATAAAGCTTGAAGGAGGTGTTTGAAAGAAACATTTAGATAAAATGCAGCTGTGATCTTCTCATAATTTCCAGGTGTGACTAAATAAGAGAGTAGGATGATGGAAGTACTTTTCAGCCAGCGCCAGCTTCTTGCTGCACCACAAACTAACATTCTCTTTACGTTGTATCCAGAATAACAAAAAATGAAGAAGAGGAGTCACATATTGTTGAGTTTCAGTGACATTTGGGCACCTAACTGTCCTCTTTGTTCTTTGAAAATCTATCTCTACACCTCCACTGCTACAGATAATATCTGGTGTGTTAATGAGCTTTTACTGTACAGGTGCTCATCTGTGTTCACATTAGCAGTGAACTCTCTTATTTGGGCTAAACAGAAAACTCTTTAAGTTTTCCAAATAATCATGTACAACAGGGAAGGACACTGAAATTTGAAGTATATTTTTAAATTCCATTCAATATAGCTACACTGTGTAGTTTCATTTTTATTGGGAAATATTGGTGCATCTTTTGGAATCGCTAGTAGATGCTGCCTGAGGCCAAGTGGCCTTCTCAAAAGATTGCATGTGGTGTAATTTGATGTCAGAGCATCTGCTGGGAGGAATCAACAATGGTGATTCAACAGTGTACCCATGGGCTGCCAGTTTGCTCCATTATGTATGGAGTCTTTTATGTGGTTACTTCAATTTAAAAATTCACATAGTTTGATAAACTAGTTTCAAGATGCGGTTTATACAGCATGCCAACTCTCAGCTGTGTAAAAATTATGTGCAAAAAGGGTAAGAAAAATCATAATTATTTTGCCCATATACTGTAAAATAATTGCTACTAACTTCTTAAAACATGATGATGTTATCTTTAAGATGCCTTTTAAACATCTGTCTAAGAATATTTATTTTCTGCTCTCACATTTTCCTTTATGTGTAATATAAAAACAAAATATCTGTCAAAATAGCTATTTTTTTCAAGAAAAAATATTTTTCAGGAAAAAGGGATGAACTCCAGTCATGTTCGAAATTCAAACTGGGCAAGAAATGGCTGTTACCAAGATACTTCACATAAAATGTTCGAAATTGATACTGAAGAGCAAAATGTACGAGCTGGAGTGCAGTCAGTATTGCAGGTATGAAATAGATTTGATGTCTAATTTTCATAGTATAGCTTTTTGTATCAAAACGTAGTGAGTGGAATAAAATACAGTATTGTTGTAAGGGAAGCCCCTGCTCCTGCTCCAAAGCATCACTAGATTTTACAGTTTTTTTTAGATTTAGTAAATGTGATGATAGATAACGTTAGAATAATGACAGTGGTTTACTGTATCTTTACTGATCGTAAATAGGAGAATGCATACGTGACTGTCAGGTAACGCAGTAAAAGAATGTGTCGTTATTGCGTCACGACATGCATTGTGCTGTGCATCACATTACGGAAAAATAATTATCTAAACGATCCAGATTACAGAATTGCTTATATGTGTTTAGAAGTGCTGTCTTGCTATGATTTGTTTATTTTAATTGAACGAAGTATGTATATAGTATGCGGAAAAGTTAAACTGCCATAAACACGATAAGATTTGATTTTCCTATTTATATAATTGAATTTAATAGCGCTGTCTTTACATTTTGTTAAGATTGTATCAAATACGGAGAATTTTGGCCACATATCAAATGGAACAGTTTGGTCAATGTTAACCTGTTGTTGGAGGTTGCAAAGGTGTAATAAAGGTTTACTATAATTCTGGCCTTTTAGTTTTCATTTATTTAACTCATTGACAATTATATTACTGACAGACTCGGATCCAACTTGTTTTAAACGTTTTTAGGGAAAAAAGCTTTAAAATAATGCTTACTGTTTCCTCCAGTAACTAATAATTGTTTCAGAACATACTCACTGTGGCATACCAGCTGTTCCTTAGCCTTCCTGAAACTCTGCGCTCCAGAGTGAATGTCTTGCACATACAAAAATGAATAAAGGCTATAGTCATAGTACTTAGTGATTCTTCTTTGTTTTTGTATTGAGCTAACAAAGTTAGACTTGTGCTTGACTATATGCTCACGTGTATGTGGACTGCAAGTCAAATCTTGTAGAAAAAGATTTCAAGCTGCTGAAATGAGTCACTTTTGTGACATGTGGCTTTGAGTACCTAGGAAAATGTCCCCCTTATATTGAATACCATATTGACTATGGGATCAAAAAATTAATATTTGATAAAGCATAGCATGTGAAAAAAGCATTCTATTTTTTTGGCAGCCTAGTATTCTTATATGTATCCTCCATTCATTATCTTTTGAGGACAACTGAAAAGAGAATGTTGGAAGAATTTGGAGTATAATTTTATTGCAAAGGTAACAGAGGACAGGTAGTATTACTAAGAATTGCCTTGACTGCATTTTTCATACATTTCTTCTGCGTATATTAAGACAGCAGTATCCTTTTGGATACAGGCTTATAGGTTTGAATTGCCTTAACTCCATCATGCGCTTTGGCAGGCCTGCTAATGTAAATACCTAGGAAGTAGATTTGTGACCAGTCAAACCTGACAGCGCAGTTTGTCCTAGTAGCTTTTCTAGTGTATGGTGGTTGGTGGTGCATTCTTTCCTAGGAGGATGGATAAGTGACATTCGTCGGAAGTTTTACTGCAGCTTACAGAAACTTTTGATAACCGTAAGAAAATCACTTGCTTACCTTCTCTGTAGAAGAATCACTTGTATGAATGTAAGAATCACATGTGTAAGAATCACATAAAATACCTATGAGAGAGTTAATGTCATGGCTATGTTGTGGCTTGCAAGCTACAATTAGCTTACAGGAACTCTTGTTCAGCTGTTGTGATAGGAGTGTATCACAGGGCGATGGTAGATTTGTAGTAGTGGTGGGTATGGGCTACCTGGCATTCCAAATCCTTGGCTGTGAAAGGAATCAGAAAGGCAAGAGTTCCTGAGGCCAGTATTGCCTCCTCCTCTCATCAGCTTGCTGAGGTATTTGACATGTTTTTTAGTTCATATTATTAAGATTTTGGTATATGGTTCATAGAATCAAGAGGATAGGCCATGCCTGATTTGAAGCACTACCTGCAGCTATTATAAAATCCATGCTTATTGTAAGCATGCTGCTAGGTAAGAGGGCAACTGCTTTGGAGAAGGTATCCTCTATTCCCTACTTTTTTTAAACCTTGCTGATCACAATGGGATGAATGCTTCAGACTCCCAGAACATAATACAGTCGCTGTCATGACCAGACATACTGTGTACCGTGATTATTTCAAATAGCGTAACCATATATTGTGCTGAACTGGTTACTGGCTCACAGGCAGAACTTTCATGCAGTAGACTTCTTCGTTGGAACATTTTCGTCCTTCGTATTAAATAACTATCTTGAGTAATTTGCTGTACCGTTTATCTAGGAGGGGAATGTATACAAATTTGTTTTATAGAAAAGCTGAAGAAATTAACCAATATTGTTGGTGCTTTATCATCAAAGCAAGCTAACTTATATTTAAATGTATGCTAATGAGTGTATAAGCAGCCTTTTCTGTTAATCACAGATTTTCTCTTTCCTGGTTACGATCAACTGAATTGCTGAGAACATCAGTGTGCTTCAAGCTCATAACATTCATTCTTTGTGACCTACAGGTTTTTATAATAAACTCTTCAAACATTTTCTTCCTTGAACCTGCAAATGAAATTAAAACTCTTCTGGATGAGCACACTGATATGTGTAAACGCATTCTTAATATCTACCGTCACATGGTAGTGCAAGTGACTATGGACAAGAAGACTTGGTAAAAATGCTAATGCTTTTATCTTAGATTATTAGTTCACAGAGACAAATGAGAAAATTTAGTTTGTTGTAAACCCAATAGGATGTCATTGGCTATGTGAATTAGTTTCTGTAAAGTAATAAATATATGGATTTTAACATCACAATTTACCACAGGGAAAGCAACTAGCCGCTCTGCTAAAACCAGTAGCAAACACTAGCTAATTTGAGGTAGCTTAGCCCTCAGTGAAAATGGAAGCTAGAGTATGCAGACTACTATCAAGGAGCAACGGATTACTTTTTTCCAGGGCATTTTGCTCATGTGTCAAAGCACTAAATAGATGAAGCGTATATGAAACTTCTTAGCCTTATTTAAAAAAAGACAAAAAATCCTCAGATAAGCCTGGATAAAAATTATAATGAGATGCAGGTTGTTCTTGATCTGATTTACTCTGGCTTTAGACATTTTTGTACAAGAGTCAGTGTACTGTTTAACTGGTTTGTTCCTTTCCGGTGTTTAAGATGCATAGCAGAGCCAAGGAACTCACACTCAAAGATGTGCGTATATTTCTCCCTCTCCTTTGAATAGCTGCATCTCTGATGAGATAATATATTGTCACCATAATCCATTGCAAGGAAGCAGTAGCAAGGGGATTTCAGATGGCTCATTTATTCCATTTTAACTTGACTAGAATTTAGTCTCTCACTAATATCTCCTGAACTCTGGTGAAGTAGATCTTGCATTACATGTCATGGGAAATTTGGGAGTAATAATAGGAAGCAGATTCCACTAGATTAGCAATTTCCTCCCCAGTTTCCTATCACTTTAAAGTATCTCCAGATTGTGATGACAGAGTTTCTATGCTATATAAAAAAAACCTGATGAAGTGTGTTTACAATAATGTAACATTGGCAAAAACTCTCATTCATACAGAAAAGAAGTATAAGCTCAGATCACAAATATAACTGTGAGCAAAGCTTTGCCTGAAATTTCAGGCCATTGAAAGTGATGGGCACTTGAGTGACATGCTACAGGGCAACAGGTATTCCTCATTCAAGTGTGAAAAGAAGGGATGGGGTAACTGTTTTTACAACAACCACCAAGTTAGGCTGCTGGTAATCACTATGTCCTGTTTGAAATGTGTTTGGGTGAATCAAGCTTAGTTATTATCTTTAAAAGTATCTTGCGATATACAGATGTATAACAAAATGGTAACTGAGAATCTGATATTATTTTGCAGGGAACAGATGCTACTTGTGTTGCTCAGGGTTACAGAGTCTGTGCTGAAAATACCACCCCAAACTTTCTTGCAGTATCAAGGAAGGAAAAACTCCACCTTAGCAGGAAGACTTGCAGGACCTCTTTTCCAGGCAATTAAGCATGAATTCACTTTAATTAATTCAATTTAATTTTGACCATGAGACTAGATGCAGCAAAAGCTGTTGACTAGCTTATCATTTCAAATTATTGATCATGTTACTCAGATAATATGAATGCTGTGGATTAAAGAGGTGGTTACATTTGATAATTTCTGAGCTATTTTTAGTGACACTCTGGCAACTGTTTTCAGGATACTATGAAATCTAAAAACTGCTGCCCATTAGCTGAGCTGGGATAATTGACAATGTATGCAGTTTTAGCTAACATCCCTTGCAAAATAAAATTTGTTAGCTCAAATCAGCGCCAAATCTTCTATGTCATCCTGGCTTAACCAGCTGATACATTACTCCTTGCAATGAGCAATAGCAGATCTTTTCAAAGTTAATAGTTGCAGAGTGCTGTTGTGATGCCTTGTCTGTAAATGGGACCTGTAAAGTCTCCAGATTCTTTAATAGGGGGAAAAAAAGATATAAAGGCAATCACAACTAATTGAGAACACTGTTACAAAACAGTTTGGCAATCCTTTTAAGATATGATAAGATTTCTTATGAATCAAACCAGTTTGTTCTGGTATCCAGGTCAGAATCCCATGTTTGCATAACACTTCATAATTCATGAAAGGTCAATGTATACTGGTGAGGAAAGGATTGTTAGGACTACAACAAAATTTCTGTGGCAGTTAGAAGCTTCTGTTTAAGCAGTAACATATGAATGTTGTGATCTTAAGATAAGAAGCCAACTTTTATCACTTTATTCTTTTAGACTCTTATAGTAGCTTGGATCAAAGCGAATCTAAATGTGTACATCTCTCGAGAACTTTGGGATGACTTGCTGTCTGTAATGTCATCACTGACATATTGGGAAGAGCTGGCCACTGAGTGGTCACTGACAATGGAGACACTAACTAAAGTATTAGCTAGAAACTTGTATAGCCTGGACCTCAGTGACCTGCCGTTGGATAAATTAAGTGAGCAGAAGCAGAAAAAACACAAAGGCAAAGGTAAGACAATACTGTATATGCATCATTTGAATTTGAGATGGGGAAATGAGATGCTTGTCATGGCAGAAGTGGGTCCAGCCTTTTTAAGTGTACCTAAATTAGGCGTCTCTGTTGCCTGAAATAACCTAGCTTCTTTAGGATAAGGCTGCTTGTTAGAACCTCCAAAAACCCCTAGCGTGGGAATTTAGTCCTGCAGATAGTTAGGCACATACAGAATTTAATCCTTAAAGATTTGTAGAATTAAGCCTAAAATTGTACACTATAGTAGATTATGCCTTTCTCCTTTTATCAAAGCAATTAAATAGTTGAGTCCCAATCCTACCTTCCTGAAAGTAACAAAGTTACAAATCTGGTAAAAATTAGATAGATAACAAGTAGGTATTGTGAACATAATTGAAATATTAATCCTGAAATTCCATGAATGTTGATGAAAGATCAGGTGTGCACAGTTTTGTTTGAGCGCTAATTCATTGTTAAGCCTTGCCAAAGACTGGTTTTTTCAAAGTGACCTTGTCTGACTGTTTAAGAGAAAGGATATTTTTCATAATGCATATGAATGGTACCAATTTTTAAACAAATTCCTATACAATGCAGGAAATATTATAAAAGACATAATGTAGGGGCAGAGAAGGGGGCTGTTTGCTTGTACTGTTACAATCCTGGAAGTGTTAAGGGACAGGAAGTCTGTCCTCCTGTGTAGAGTGCTGGACTGAGTTTTGCAAAACTTGGATTCTATTCTGAGGTCAGACTGATTTTCTGCATGCGACAATGACCAGTCACTTCTCTGTTTCCCCATCTGTAAATCATGGTTAATGATACTGTTCTCCTTTAAAAAGTGCTTTGAGATCTAACACTAGGAAGCAGGATTATATATCAGATAAGTAGTAAAGATGGAAAAAAATACATTATTTAGTCTACTTTTTAGTCTCTGTATTCTGCTTGATGTGATTCTCCATTCAAACCTAAGCAAAGGCACTTCCTACTAGTACCTTAGGGTTTGTCAGTGAGAAATAATCAATGTAGATGTTTATTTCCCTCTCTTAAGGACATTCCTGTATGCTCTTTTTGCTAAACACGTTTCACATGCTTCCAAGTTCCTCTTCTTGGGCAGAGGACTTCACACTTTCATTTTGTTCTTCTGCTGTGTGATGACTGAACAAACATACCTTTCTCTTTAATTGGCCCAGAGGGGTTGTTCCAGATCATGCATTTTTCTTTTTTTTCCTACTATAGAGCTTTCTTATTTTTCTTGCAAAAGACTGAGAGTAAAAAAAAAAACAAAAAAAGTCAAAGCTAGGATAAGAATGTGTATACCTATTTGAATATAGGCTTTAAGAAAACATTCTGTTAAATTTAAGTGTACTCATGAAAGCAAAATCACCAATACAGAGCCATATGACAGGAGTTTATGTAAGTAACTAGCATTCAGAGAGTTTCAGTAAAGTCTTCTATGATTAAATATGAGTTGCATAGTTAACTAATATGGATTTTGGAAGTAATAAATCACATGCAGATTATGCCCAACTTCCTTAGCCCTGCACATTTGCTAATAATAATGAACGTGTTGTTTTAGGGCTCACTTTCCAAGAAGACGCCCTTTTAATCATTGTGATTCTTTACCAAGTGTAAATGTGGATTATATTAGTCAGTTTAGTGTGAGTAAGGAAATATATTGCAAATATTCTTTAGTTCACTGGGTTTTTTTTTTTACATACGGTTGTTTTTTGATAGCTTCTCATGTGAACTTTATTTACTTTGCTATAAATGTCAATTTTGAATTTTTTGTTTTCTTAATCTTAGTGTAGTGGTATTTTTGTGAATTTCCAAAAAGCCTTATTCTCTGAGCTCATCATCCCATTTTTTTCTTTTGCATTTCATGTTAAAATGTTTCATCATCTTTATTTTATGTTCCTGAAATGCCACAACATTTTTGTCAAAAAAAAGAAAACCCTCCAGTATTAATGATCTTTAACGTATGATTTTGTGCGTCTTGTCTAATAGGAACAACAAAGATTGAGATAGAGGAAAAATTTCAATAGTTACATATTTTTATCAGTCTACATCCTCTGTAAACCCAGTTTTCTTGGTCTTTTACACTTGATTGGTCAGAAAAGAAAATCACGGTTGGTTAAGCACCAAAGTTCAGAAACACCAATGCCTCTGAACAAGTTTGAGTATCCCTCAGTTAATGCTGTTTAAGTGGGTTTTATAGAGATTATTTAAATAATGTATTGCTTAGCTTTTAAAATCATGCTTGTTTTTATAACATAATAGATTTAAAGTTGGATAGAAGATATTTGAAAGAGTATAACTGCAAATATCTGGTGATATCTATTCACTTAATCCTCTGAAATAGCATTGCAATTCTATTTTTTCAGGGGTTGGGCATGAATTCCAAAAATCGTCTGTTGATAAGTCCTTTTCTAGAGGCTGGAGCCGTGATCAGCCTGGGCAGGCACCAATGAGACAGCGCAGCGCTACAACCACTGGTTCTCCAGGAACAGAAAAGGCAAGGAGCATAGTACGGCAGAAAACAGTTGGTATGTATCCGTAAAAGATGATACAAGTGACATTTGAAAAAGGGAGGGAATTCCTAACTGTTTTGGAGCTGCATGGATAACTACTTTCCACAAAAGTTTACTCTCTGTAATACTTAGTAAGATATGTGGGTGTACCTTGTGCAGTCTTATGTGCTTTGAGGATAGCTGAATAGCCTACGGTTACTAAACTGAGACTTTGTACAAATAGAAGTAATGCAACCAGTGTATTAATTCTTTATGAGTTTGATCACATGCTCATGCTTCAGCTGAATTAGAAAAATAGTGCAGCTGTATGTGTATGACTGAGAAAAAAGCTGGAATAGTTTGTCTGAGTAGTGGTATGGATAGATAGCTAATAGGTGGCTTTTTACATGCATATTTTCATACATTTTGCACAAAATTTATAGTATATTCTCCCGTTACGCAAAGAAAAGTGAGAGAAATATCTGCATAGTTCATAAAATGTGCTGTCTTTGACTATATCCTGGAACTTGCTTAAATGAAAGATGGGCACAGATGTGCACAGATCTCCATTTCTGAAGTGATGTATTTTTCAGCTTCCTTACTTGCAGATACTCTTTCCTATGTTAGAAATTAGTGATGCAAGACTGTTCTAGGTGGATTGCTCAAAAGAAGACTCATTAACATTCATCTAATTTGCTCAGGCTATTTTAACATGAACTGGACTGCAAATTTCCTTACTCTGTTGTCTCTTCAGATGATCTCAGTGCTATCCAGTCAGCAGAGGAAAATTACAGTGATTTTACTTTTCTGTGTAAAAAAATCAAATTTCTAAGGAACGTCTCTTGCTTTTTCATTATCTCTGTAATAGTTTTGGCTTCACTCATTGTGTGTTGCTGCTTCACTGATACTTCCTGGAAGCAGGTACATTCTGACACAGTTTTAGAAACCAGGAATGCATATTTGCTGTTCAATGTGTTAATTATGTTAGCTTTTCAGAAATTAACATTTTCTTTCCCTTTCCAAAAATCTTTGCAATTAATTTAGATTTTTTTCAGTCACAGAGGTTATTGAGTCAAGATTTATATTTGATTATACTTTGAAATGCTGTTGTTCCATTTTTTAAATTTGTTTACTAGTATCATCTAAAGACTTTTGTGGAGGTGGGAGACTTGATTGTGCTAGAAGCAGTACAGACACAGGAGAAAATGAAACTACTACTCCCAAAACGTCTGGCTTTTTCATGCACGCAAGTGCTACGCTGCTTTTGCTGTATCTCATGCTGACAGCTTGTAGTTTGACTGAACAGTTTTTCTTATGGATCACAAGATACTTTAAATGTAGATTTTGCTTCTCTGTTCGTAGTCTGTAGCTAACTGTTGCAAAGTTTTTGTTTTAAATCTTCATTGTGTTAATAAGGTAAAGCTCCTGTTAAAATTTCTTCTTCTCAAAGTATATTCAGATATTCTGTCAGAAGGTACTGCTCTTTGGTCAATTTATAAATGGCTTTGTTTTGCTACTATTGCTATTTATATGACTTTAGCCCTAAATCACTGAAATTTTTCTTTGTCAAGCTGTATGTTGACCTGGTTAGCAGCAAACCAATCTGATTTTAGTTTTGTTGTACTTTTCCTTGTTTTTGTTCCTTTCTTCCAATTATGTTACGTATTTGATATTAACAAGCAAAGTTTGTATTACTGTAACCAGTTAAAATTTCAGCTCAATTCGTATGATAGAATACCATCTGCGGACAAGCATCTCAGCATTACTAGAGTGGTTTTAAAAGGTGAAAAGCCCAAAAGAAGTTGCCAGAGGCAGAATCCTAAACTCTTCTGTTTTTAAGATGTTAATGAAGCGTATGTACATGTGTCTTAACTGTCTGCAAACAGTTGCTTGCTATTGTCTCTCAGGTTTGCTACGAGAACTGTTCAGGTGCTTCCTAATCTGTGCCAGTTAAAACAGGGTCATATAACAAAAACTGACTTATAGTCAAAATAAGTAAAATCTTCTGTATATTTTGCTAGTCCGATCCTCCCCTTCGGTTTAACGTTAACTCCACAAGCTCAGTTTGGAATTGAGTCAGACCTCAGATGTGTTGCATGATATTTGATATGCAATATATTTTGTTTGATTGTGAGTAATATACTCCTTATGTCTGACTATGGAGTGTATGCATGTTGAATATTTTATTGTAAGAAAGAGCTGGAGTTTCTTTTTCATCTATGTTTTGTTGTACACATTTTGTGTACATCTGTGCACCTCTCTTTTTGAGCCATCCTCATGCCTGCACACATTTACTGCGCACCAAGTTTGTGTGTGTTTTACTCAAATAAAAATCACAGCTTTTGTGATGCGCAACGTGTACATTTTTAGCCTAAACTTATGTAAAGTAATTTTTGGAAAAGGGCCTTTAAATATGGTATGCATATGGGTTGAAAAATCTTATATTGGACTAGATGTGGAATTTGTAGCTTAGGCAGCAGATTCTCGCCCTATAAAGGTATTATATCAGACCGAATTTACTGATCCGTAGTTCTGCTTTTGTCTATAGACAAGAACAGTGAAAGGTGATTTATTGTAAGACAGTTGAGGCCCAAACAATACATCAGGGTGAAAGAGGCCAAACTAAAAACCAACATCAAGTATGGTAGTCTGTCTATATTGCCTCTATTTCCTCTTTCCAATTTCACACATTCCCTATGCAAGGCAAATTATGGGTTTTATTTTTATTTTTCTATTCTGAATGTACTGGCAGAGCAGAGGGAAGCAACAAAGGTTTTGAACCGTCAAAATATCTATTGCACGTTCTGGCAGTAAGTCTACCTCTACTTGACTGCTTATTTCAATGTGACATCATTTTCCTTTCACAGCACTCAAAATTAATTTTCCTTTCGATAATAATAAGCTACAATTTTTCCTTAAAAGCTGCTTTAAAATTTCCTCCTTCCTATTTCTAAATAGGTTGTTCTACCTCTCCTGGTAGGATCAATGTAATAAGGTGGGAAGGATTTCAAATTGCCAGGGACACTTAATTTTAAGACTTGTTATCAACCTAGCGTCCAATCTTAAAAGCTTGGTTTACTTAGTATGTAGCCTGATGTTTTTTTTCTTGCCTGCATTTTTAAGATACACAATGGTGCCTGTAATGCATCTATCTATTATTTTATCCTGTATTTTTAATATTGTATCTCTTAAAGAAAGAGAAGTTAAAGCCTTGCACATACTTGCCATTTTGGCAGCAAAATTAAGTTGATTTCGTTCATATGAACTAAGTTGAATAGAGAATGGCTTCAGTCTTAAAATACCTGTCTTTCCCAACTGTTTTTTTCTAACTGATGTTAAGACTCTGCTTAAGTTGTGCTGCATTTGTCAAATGTGTTTTCTGCTCTACGTACATTGGCTCCCCAAGTTTTCTGCATGTTGGTGTGCTAGAGACAGTTCTTAGACTGAATTTACAAGTGTGACTGTGCTTAACTTTTATTCTGTTTGTGTACTTCTGATTCCCATCAGGTCAGCCACACTTAGATTCTAAGTATATATTCCATGTCGTATGGAAAATATGCATACAACAAAATTCAAAGACCGATTGAATACAGTGCTGACAATGTTTACGTAATGTGCTGACATTTCCATTAAAAAAGTTTGTCAGTGACTATTTTAAAATAATTATCAAATTCACAACAATTTAGAAAGGAAGCTGCTTGAAACTATGGCTTTTATTTTTTGAAGAGCTTTAGCTGTTCTTTGAGATGGAATGCAGTACCTATGCTTGTTGATACTCTAAGAGAGGAAAACACATAATATACAAGGATTCACTTTAACCTACTGGAAAAGCTGCAAATATAACCTTGATGCTGATGCCAAAATTCTTATGTAAGGTTTTCCTTCCGTAGGAAGGACTGTTGGCAAGAGGTATGAAAAGGTGAATTAACTTAGCAAGATTTATCCAATATCCATTAAAATCCAGAACGTGAGGGTAATAAACAGTCAGTTTGACACTTTCTGTTGACAAACTATTTCACTTCAGTCACTTCATTTTTGTGTGAAAGTATACTGAGTTGTATTGCGAATTTCTACAGGCAGAATTCACTATTTTTGCAGTGCTTTTGAATCTCTTTTGGAAAATCTTGATTTCAAGGTTATGGGCATGTGTAAAGTTCAGAGGTACTTGTTCAGGAGTATCAAAGAAAACTAGAAAAATATAAATATAGTGTATGTTGTGTTTTCAGTTACAAAATTTCAAGTTCTGAGCACTTGTGGAGTGGTTTTTAACTGTGATTTTTCAACCCCTGATGCAATGGAAAAAAGAGTGTTGATTAGTTTATTGATCTTTAATGCAAAATCTTTGTAATAGTCGTAATAAAGGCATTGCTGCTGCTTTACATAAAAGTTAAAAACTCAAAATGTCTTATGTGTACACTGATTTTTTTCTTTCTTACAGCTCTGCCAAAATCTGCCGTGCTGAAATGTTTTAATTTTTAAATTTTCTTCCTTTTTATCTTTGTTTTCTCTGTTGCTGCTTTTTCTGTGACACAAGCCTTTCATTATAGTCACTCTTCTTTTTTCCTTCCCCACTTCTTTCTTTTCCTTTTTAAAGCCATGAGAAGCCGATCCATTGGTGAATGTGCTCTGCCATCGGCCTATATACGCAGTGCTAAAAGTGCTCCTGTTCTGATCCATACTTCCAAACCCTTCTTGCCTGATATTGTTCTCACTCCCCTTTCTGATGAGCTTTCAGGTAGTGCCACCTCTGCTAATTTCTGCACCCCCTTTATCACTTTTTTAAACCTTCTGCTTTCAAATTCTGCTAAATCAGTACATTCTTCAAAGTAAAAATACTTGTGGGTGGGGGGGAGAGGGGAAGAGATTAAGAGTGAACATTTTGAGTTACGTAAAACGTCATGCTATATTTGCAATTCATTCTGGAACTGTTAGAAGTTAGTGCTGTGCCAATGTTTGCTATCATAAAAGCAAAATTTAGAGCAATCTCTTGCTTTTTCAATGTATTAGTAAGTGATTACGTAGCATCTGTCTACCATATTATACAACTAATCTAAAGCTTTTATTTATGATGAGTGAGAAAGGAAAAAGACAAAAATAATTTTAGTTTGACTTGCCATAAAAAAATCTTTCTACATAAATTTTTAAATTCATTGTCATAGATGCTGGGTCATGATAATGATATAATTTAGCTATCATTAAAAAAAATGTTTGAAGAAGCAATGTAGTATTGTATGGTATGTTTTACAGTATGCCTGTTTTGCATTAATATATATATAGATGTAAAAAACAATATACAGTTTTGAATCCTGAAGAACTGTAATTTGGTTTGGTTTTCCAAATAATAGATTTTGCACAAGGTTGTAATTCACTATAAAATTATATTTGGCCCTGCAGGATGGTTGGCCGGAAGTTTGACAGTAGCTTTCTTTGGACACATAGACAGCCTATTAGGAACTAAATCTTACCTGGGCTTACCACTGTTTTAAAAACACAGTGAAGATCTTGGAGCACCTGCAGAAAGGAATTAGCTTTCACAATGAGCTGTTATCATATAGTCACAAATAGTTAATTATCCTATCAAATAGTTAATTATCCTATCTTAGATAAGGCAAATGGTTATAAACAAGTTGTGTTTTTGCAGTCAAACTTATTATCCATGCTTCTGAAAAGTCCTGGCTTGCTTCTTTCTTCTGATGTGTCCCAAATCATGATGATATGAAGTGGACTTTTTTGCTATTATCCTTTCCATTGCTATTAATCTGATGTAGCATTAGCACAACCAATGATATTTTGAAAAATGAAATAAGTTTACAGATTTTTGCAATTCTATCATAGAAGAAGTCTTAGTTAGAGCCCTGCTGTTCTAGGTCTGTTCTCAAACAGATAGTCTCTTCTCAAAACAGCTTCATGATGCACCCAAGAATCTTGAACATTACCAGAAGACTTAAAAAGCTCTAGTGAAGAATAGAAAGTGTTATAATGTTTATGGGGGGCTGACAGTTGGAGTGAAGGAAAAGCTATCCACTGGATCAGAGTGCGCTTTGCTCTTTTGATTTTCTGCATTTTTACTGTCTCTCTCTCTCTCACTCTCACTTTCCCTTTTTTTGTTTTTACACATGGAGCTTTGTCATTTTCCCTACCTTTTGTCCTTACAGTGATTATATTCTTTCTTGGAAAGCCTTCTGTGCCCAGATGTACAGCTTATAATTTGAGAAGTAATCAAACTTTTTATCATCAACGTGCTTTAGGTAGTGGATGATGATTAGCTAGCTGTGACAGCCCTTCCTCTTATTTCTCCATTATATGAATACCCCTGTTATCCAAAATGGCTTTCAGGACCAACACAACTCAAAGGATAGGATATTTCAAATGATCCTAAAAGAACAGGGTGCCCAAATTTCATTCAAGTTCTTTGAAGTAGTTTTCAGCTCCTTTTTAGCTTTTTACAAAACTCCTTATTGAAACAGTGACAAACAATGAATTGAACGCCAGCCAACCTTGCCAGGTTGCCCAAAAGAAAGCATTTGTGCCAAAACTTCTTACCAGGTGTACAGTACAGCATATTAACTATCAGGATGAAGGCTGAATACCTTGCAAGAGTTTGTTATTTATAGAGTCACAAGGTTTCTGTTTGAAGGTCAGTCAGTATATTAACCAAAGTGCAAAAACTCAAAGATGAAATCTAGTTGGCTGTATTCTATGTACAGGATGCTTTTCTTAAGATTGTAGCTCTCTCTTGTCGTGTCTAAGGTATGCTGTATTTCCATGCACAGCATATTTGCAACTTTCCAGATGGGATCCAGAAAGTGAAAGTGGAGATTTGTGGTTTAAGGACTTTTTTTAACCTATTAGAATCTTGTAAATGTATAAGACTGAATTTTATAGGCTAACCAGTAAAATACACTTAATTCTTGGTAGTGTTGGGGGCTTTCTGTTGTTATAAGAGCATACAGCTAGAGGACTCCTTCTGGACAGGAGTGTTGTTGGTGAGATGTAGGCAAGGTTCCCTAAAGCAATGGGCAACAGAATTAAAGGTGGAGGAGAAGGAAGAGAAAGGGTGGACAGAGAAAGAGCACAACTGCAGACTAACGAATTGCAAGTGGGAGGTGTTTTCGATACATTGGGACTAAAAGAATTGGAGGAAAAACTAACATGAGGGGAAGATATGTATTATGCCTTTACAACTTTACTCCCTCATAAGTATAAAACTTCAGTGAACTAATCATTAAGTCGAAATACAAGTAAATCAGAATTGTAATGTCAATGTGGCTGTAATTATTCATTAACCCTGGAAACTCTCAGAATGAGTATTTTCATGTAAATGAATCAAAAAGAAAGTTGAGAAGAAAAAGTTATTTTTTCTCCACTTGCTGAACTAACTTTCCATGATGAAATATAATTCTGTCCTGAGGTTATATGGGAAATTTCTACTTGCCCTCATGCTGTCTTGCCAGAATGTGCCTCTGCATGAGTTCCTATTTTAGCATATCTGTCTCCCATCTGACCCTGAGAAACTATTCTTTGTGCCTTCTAGCAGAAGGGGAGGTAAAGTTGGATTAAGGAGAGTCATGATCAGATGAAATTGGCTAGAAATTACTAATTTTAATCTCTTCCTCTCTGTAATACTACCTCTCTGTAACATACTAGGAATGAGGCCAGTGGTACGTATAATATCATATACAAAGTCTTCTGGGGCACAACTGCAGTATAGATAGTGAAAACTCTTTAGCAGTTGATGGCATCCCGATTTGATATATGCAGCTGTCCAGGAATGAGCCCTGGTTGCCAAGGAGATTGTTCCTTTGGATTTTTAAACATTATCTGTATTTTCAGTGCTGATATTTCAGTAACGTAATATATTTTTCATTTCCTTAATTTCTTCATCTGTTCTACAAAAAAAGAAATCTCTGATCGTGCAAGAGCAATATGTTTGTTGGAAAATGTTTGCACAGTTGTATGTGCTAGTCATGCACACGTGTCATTGAGTACCTAAAAGTAATACTGGATCAACACTGAAATAAATCTAGCTGAATTTGTTTCAGTGTGTGGAGGTGCTTGGTGTGCATATATTTGGAGTTCTCCATCCAGTAATTTTTTGCGTCCTGGAAAATCATAATCACTGCATGAATGCACAGTGTGCAGTCTTTGGGCTGGTGCTTTAGTTGTCTATAAGCGTGACTATATAAAGCATTTAAAAGATTCATATTGAGGGCTCAGGATGAGTTCAGTGTATCATATGTATATATATTTATCTCATATGTAACACATTATCATTCCTATATATTTTAGCTGAGTCCTAAGGTCCACAGTCACTGCTTTCGCATAGAGACCGATTTCTTATGGCTGCAAAGAGAGCCTTGAGAGTGTGACATAAGCATAACTGTTGTGTTAATATCTACGTAAATCAACAGAGTCGGAAACAGCCTTCTAACTGGACAGAGACACCGTGCGTATCAGTGCGTGTTAATTCATATACTTATTAAATTGAACAAGAACATTGTTGAGAAATCGGCTGCTGATCAAAGCTGAATAGAAAGGAAAGGGAGAATAAATTACGCTGTATATGACAATTGTCAGTTCATATTTATTTTCTGAAAAGAGCGTGGATGTGTACTTTCTTTTCCAGGGCAGACCTGTGTTTCCTCTCTAATAGCTTCATTACAATTCAGTAAATTTTAGATCAGGTCTCAAACTTTAATTTTTTAATTACAACTCCCCTGAAAAATTGAGCATGGAAATACCACTTTTCATCTTCATCTGACATGCACATTTAGTTATGCACAAATGTATGTGATTCCTCCAGAGTATATGCTTTGCTCAAAAAGAAAATGAGAAAATTTAGCTCTAGCTCTAACTTTCTCAGAAAGGTATGAATACTTGGAAACAGGTTTTTATGACAACTTCAGATTATCGTAACTATATGTTATTGTGATAGGTATAGAGATCCATGAAATAATTCATTTAAAATACTTTAAATGAATTCAACATAGTTTCTTTCCTTTGACAGTAACAAATCAGATTTAGGTGAGGGGAAGGGGCTTTGAATAAATTTTGGGGTGTGCCAGTTAAAAGTAAATTCACCATTGCAACCTTGTAGATAAATCCTTCTAGGTAAACCAACAAGGTAAGTTTGTTTATTGTGGCAAGTCAATCTCGATAGTGTTCCGTTAAGCTCTTTATTGTTACTTCTGACATTAAAAGCGTATCTACAACTTTTTAAGTTTTAGGCAGTGAAAAGAAAATCTGGGGAATAGTGGATTCTGTCAAAAACAAACCAACATAAAATTGAGGAAGATGTTTTTACCTTAGTGCTCAAGTGTCTGTCCCATGAAAGACTGCTTGGGGTAGTTTGAATTCTTGTAATTAGGTGAATTGTCTATAAGAGACACTTAGGCTTGCCTACACCAGTGATTTGAGGGTATGTAGTGTTCCTGCTAGCATATCAGGAAATCGAGAGAGGAATGTAATGGTTCCGCATTCTGGTGGATGATATGAAGTGGGCTGAAAATACTTTTGTGCATTTCCTAGGTGATCCACATCGGAACTGCAGCTTTCATTACTGTTAACTATGACGTCTGCTGATGCTACCGTGTTAGCAGTCTCGACAGAGACGAGGAATCACTGATTTAAATGGTCGTAACAAATGTTCTTGTCTTTTCATGAATAAAAGTGGTTTTACTCTAATGTTAGCTGTTGTGCGGCTGCAGGATTTTTTCAGTAGCGGGTCCTTAATTTGGTAATTCTTATGACTGCTGTATTTACTTGAGTAATACTGGAGGAAGAGGGGGATGTAAGCGTCCTTGTAGTGTTCAGTTTTGTATTTTGAAGACTAGAGACATATCACAAGTCATCCTTTTAAGAAAAGAAGGTATATCATTAAATTATCCTTCATAATGACTATTTTATAATCCTGACTATATATCCTGGCTATTTGTCCTTATAGTTATCCTTTCACTATAGGCCCAACTCTTCCCTGTCATTTCTTTTTTAATTATTAAGTCTTCAGGTATATGCTATGTACATATACCATAATCTACATAATTGTATGATATTAAACTTCCTGATATTTCTATGATTTATATACATTCACACAAGTTATGAAAAAGTGATCGTTTTCCATTTCTATAGACAACTCTAATTTTCCAGAAAGCCTATATGTTCTCTTTTGAGTTGTGTATTTCTGAAGACGTAAATTCCCTGAAGGGTACTACTGTTATGCTAATTTGTATTCCAGGTAACCATTTCTTGAACAAGTTGAATTATTGAACTTATTGGCACAGCCCTAGCTTTAACTGTATTTCCAAATATTCCATGATCTCACTGTCTGTTTTCATGCATGTTAACATTTAAAACTGTGTTCTGATGGTCTAACTCATTTATATTACATTCCGTACTGGATATTATGTGTATATGTTTTTAACACTCTAGTACTGGAAAAAGTATTTTTTGTTGTACTTAAGAAAACAAGGCTCTGGACTTTTCTGGCTTTTTAAATGACATAATTAGGATGTAGCGGTAAAGCAATATTTTCTCTGTATGTGTATTTTAGCGCATATGACATATACTTTTTTCCTACAGACATTGATGATGCTCAAATTCTTCCACGTCCATCTCGAGTCAGACATTTTTCACAGAGTGAGGATACTCCAAGTGAAGTTTTTGGTGCATTGAATGAGGAACAGCCGCTGCCACGAAGTAGCAGCACCTCAGACATCCTGGAACCATTTGCAGTTGAACGAGCCAAAGGTGCAGTTCCTGTCATTGACAGTTCATCCCACCATGCTCCAAGCTTACAGAGTTCCACTGAGACCTCTTCAATGCATAGATCCACTGAAAGCCATATTACTGATACAAATAGCAGAGAGTCCTCCTTGGAAGTTGGGGATAGTATTTATGACCATCTCTGTCATTTAATAGGGCCAGTAGAATTTGCAAATACAGCCTTTGAACAAAGCCAATATGTTGACCTTGAAGGTGAAGATGATCTTCTTTCCTCTCTGAGAGAATATCTTAAAGAAAAAGAAGAACTTTGCGGTAACTTTGAGATAGATAAATATGAGGCTTCTGCTCACGAAGTTGATACATCTGTAAATAGGAATGATAGATTACCGATGGATGGATTAGAAAATAGAGATCATACCGATCAATGCGTGAATAGCGTCACTGTTGCAGAAAGAGCTGATAACACAGAGCTGCACCTAGAGCAAAACCAAAGTGGCTTTATAAGTAACATTGCACCTACTCAAGTAGACAATTTTGCAAGAAATCAAGCACTCGATAAAGCCAAACAATTAAATATCGATAAACACTCTGAAAGCCTGTTTGATCACGGGTCAAGTAGTCCTAATAGCAAAGAAGGGAAGAGATATCTGTACAGGCAAGCAGCCACTGAAGCTGATGTAGATTTAGCTGTGGAAGCAGCGTTAGCCGAAAAGCATAAAAGTGCCCAGTTTAACGAAAAAATAACCAACTCACGTGTTATGCATGCAAAGAAAGTTCTTCCTAAAGCACAAGTTAACCCTCAAATGCCTCACACTACAGGCACAAGCAAACTCTCACCAACTAAAAGGAGTATATCTGAAACAGTAACTCATAGGGCTAAGATCATGAAAATAACAACTAAGAAAAGAAATAGTGTTCACGTTACTTTTAGACCATCTACAGAATCAGTTCAATTTTACAATCCTCTTGACAACAAAGAGGCCCCTTGGAAAGCAAGACTTCGTAAACTCAGTGGCTTCAGTAGCAGTGGTAGTGGTAGCAACAACAGCAGTACCAGCACAAGCACCAGCTCATCAGCTGTCATGGAGCTGGTTAGACCTGGAATTTATAGACCTCTAGATGTGATCAATGCTGCTTCAGTTGGTAGCAAACAAACTAAGGAATCTACAGAAACTCAAGCAGCCATGTTACAAAAAGAAGGTATTGCAGTTAATCAGTTACATAGTCGTAGTGCATTTAGGTCGTCAGGTCAGGAGACAGCACAACAGCAGGGCTCCCTGGGTGGTGTTTATAAAACTGTTGTACATGCTCTTTCGAAGCCGAAGGCAAATGTTTCCCCACAGAGGCAGAACAGAATGCCAGCAGAGGCTCCACTGAGGGATCTGTACAGTCATGTAATGGGCTATTTTGGAAGGAAAGCTGCAGGTGAGCACTAACAGTGTGCAGAGCGCAAAAGGAGAAAGGCAGCACCAGTTTGGCTTAATGCAACTGAAGCAAGCTCTGATAAGCAATCAAAAGGCTTTGGGATGATCACTGCTTTCCCTGTTTGGTTATGCATGCGCCTATAGCCAGCTGATTTTTCTCCCAGCATAAGTTCCTTTTACATACTTTAAATTACTAATTTCCCTTTTAAAGATATTTAGTTGAACCTCTTTGCTGCTGAAGACCATTAGGTTAGGGAAGAGGAAGAGACAGTAAATGACCTAATAAGGGATTAAGCCTTAACAGTTCTCAATTTTCATCTACTATGCAGAGCCTTAAAATGCAGCCTACTGAATGATTGGCATATGCATATTATATCAGAATGTACTGTTCTGCTATAAGTGTAGTTTGTTTGTCAGAAAGACCTGGCTATCAACCAGCTAGGTTGAACTAATTATATTTCTGGTTCATTTAGTGTGTTTTCTTCCTCCTCCTCCTCCTACTTCTCCTTTTCCTCCTCCAAAACAAAAAAAGTTTCTCAAATTTAAATTTGAAAGTCAGTTTAGATACTTTTTAAAAAATAACTTTAAACAGAAATCTCCTTACATGGATGATTTCATTATAATAGCTCTCTGTGATTCTAATCGTAATTTTTCATTTGAATCATTTTCAAAACATGCTTTAGGCCTTTCTGTATGCATTTATCAAAATGGATGCAGTTACATCTTGGCAACATCTTTCATCGCTTTCTTTTTTCTTGGAATCATGGATGTTCATGAAGGTCTCATGATAGTCCTTTTCCTGCTAACTATGAGACTTCTGTGGACTGATCAAAAAGAATAAGGCTGTCGCTCTAATATCCATTGTCTTAGTTCACATCTTAAATAACCTGAAATGAACAATAAATTAACTTTCAGCAGTAATGTAGGTTTTCTTTTTTCACGTTGTTATGCTAGCATGATTAACTGAAGATTCTGTAACGCAACCTGCATTGAGATGTTAATGCCACCTGAGGGCAGTCTTTGTAAGCATAGCACCATGCCAACTGGGCAGTAGTGTGATTGTCATGTTTCTAAAACAGAGATTTGTTCAAAGCAGTCTGCGGAATCTAGACTTCTAAAAGAGATTCTAGAAATGAATAATTTAGAATTTAATTTTATTTAAAATCTGTAACGTTTAATCGAGCCTCAATATTAGAGTAAGCTATGCTGTGATCTCATGAGAGATGACACTGAGGGAAAAATTCTTACAGAGAAAAATAAATTGGAATAAACTGTCATGAAGTCAGGTGTAACAGTCACAGCTAACAATGAACAGTATAATCATGCCAAAATCAAAACTGACATATGAGAGAACTTAATTAATTGTTCATAACCGTTGCCCATATAGAGTTTGAATTTTCATCCCATGTAGTAGCATGTTATTTTGTTACATGAGATTTTATTTGCACTATTTATACTAACTGTATACAGTGCCACATGGATGTTTGTCATTATTATATATTACAATCTAGTATACTTTTTCTACTATATTTTTCTTCATTAGGAATGCAATGAAGAAGGAGTGTCTGTAGGAATCATATAAAATTTTTAGGATTTTCTACTTATTTTTTGTGATATGGAGGAAGAATATATGCTGTATCCTTAAAGCAAGCATTAACAACTTTAAGTAGTGCTTACCTATAAGCTTTCTTGCTCTTTAAGGTTATACTGGAAATTAACTAACACCTGCTTTAGTGGGAAGAAGAAGTTTTACTAATTTCTTAAAGAAGAATCTGTTTAAAAAGAAGGAAATTCTTAAAATGCATGTTTGGCAATTTATTAATTTTTTATTTATATTAATTAGTAAAGATTTTAAATTCGTTATCTTTTGTTTTGAAAACGTGATGGTGTGTTCTTTACTATATACAGTCATTCATTTGCTTTTAGCTAATAGAGAGGACATGAGTCAAAAGCTGCACCCTATTGATAGCGATATTGGCAGTAGCAATACAAATGTTCCTGACCTCATGGATGAATTTATAGCTGAGAGACTCCGCAGTGGTAGTGCACTGGTAAGCCTTTAAACTTTCTTGTGTTTTAATACGTAAGTTTGCGTGCATGTGTGTGTACTGATCAATGACATCATAGATCAGTTCACGAAAGCATCTTACTCTGCATTTTATGAATCAGAAAGGATTAACAATATCACTTAATTAGTTCTCGAGTTTAAGTCATTTTGACATAGACTCATGCCATTTTATGCTATTTGTATTTTCATTTTTATTAAATCTGCATTCTGCGAGCAATATGTAAGTAACCATGTGATGAATAGTTTCATTGAATTAAATGGTTTTACTTGCACCTGTAAAGATTTTTCCACACAGGTATTTTTAGGATCATAGTTTATATGTTAAATTGCAGTCCTCTGTGTAGTATTATGTTCTGTTCTCTGCTGGTTTAATCAGTGCAACCGACTGCAAAGCTACACTATCACATGATTTTCCTTCATTTCTTTTTATTTCATTTACAAAAGTCGAATAATTTAGCGTAAACAGTTTTCCGCTCACAGAACCAACTTTTCTTAGGCTCTCTTCCTACACTTTTCCAGGAAGGTCTGGTTGTTTGGGGTATTCCTCATGATGAGAAATAGTAATCAATTTCAAGCTAAGAATTTCAGGGTACAGTTGAATCTTTACAGAACAAGACAGCTCATTGAAAAAGATTATTTTTTTTTATTAACTAGCAATGAAGGGGGAAGTATTAAAAAAAAAATCTTTGAATGAAGAACAGAATAGGTAGCAATTTCAGTGTATTGTTTCAAAGTTGTCCGATTCTCTTTTTCTGCTTAGAATCTTTTTTTTCACATAGTGTTGATTTTTTTAGGAAAAAAAATGTCATTTTAGGACATGCAGATATAGAAAGTTGAGAACAAGTAGTTTACTTCTTGTTAATAAGGAGCAAAAAAAGATTCTTCAGAGTGATTAGAAAAATTTGTTTGTTTATTGTTCAGAAAAGTGTATTTGTTCATTAATAAGTGGTCAGAGAAGAACTATGGAGTATGTCCATTTATATGCTTTTCTCTCCTTTGTATGGAACTACATTTATACAGTTTTAACTGTTGGTGCATAATATACTTGTTAGCAAGCCCTGAGTTACCAGAGGAAAGACTAGCTGGAAATATTAAAAAAAAAAATTGACTTAGTTTGCAGATTAATAAAACAGAAATCAACACAGCTGGTCACAGAAAAAGAGAGAGAGAAAGGGAATTCATTGGGTGAGAATATTGATTGATTTTTACTAGTTCAGACAAAAGAATTGATTCTTCCCGTAGGTATCAAAAAACAGCCAAGGTAAGTTTGAAAAAAGAATTTGAAACTTTGCCTGCCACTGTTGATGTAATCTACCACGCAGAAGCAGATGTTCTATCTTCAAACAAAGGCCCAAATTATTCAGATTAGTTTTAGATTGTTCGAACTAAGGAATGCTAAGACTGTGTCATGAAAAGGTTGAAGGTCAGGCTGAGTAAATCTCTAACTAGGAGAAGATGGTAGTAGGAAAAGAACAGAGAATTGACTGGACCTCGTGCAAAAAGAAGTTACTTTCACTCTCTTAATCTCTAATACATAGAGAATTCAAGCTGTTTCACAAAATTACTTTTCTACATTTATCTCTGCTCCTCCTCAAGCTAACAGTCGTATTTGTGAGTAGAGTGGCTTAAAGAAAGACTCTAAGTAAACAACAGCTTTTGGAGGAGCAAATCTATATGCCTCATTTCTGCTATATGCTCTCTGTTGTCTGAGTCAATAGTAAGGTTTTGGCTTAATTGTGAGAAAATTAGGACTTATATATTAATTTCCTTGTGTTTTACATTAAATTTTTGCTTGTAGAATAGTAGTCTACAGGCCAGAACTTACTAGATTCCTTGAAGTTTTTTTGCTACTTGTGTCTGGAGCCAAGGTTAATATGTTGTTTAGTAATATGGACATAGTCTGGAGATAATATACTTTTTTATTATTTTCTCTCTCTCACGCCTTACCAAATATGTGTGTGGTGCATGCTAGTCTGAATCCTAGTCCCTTATGATATATGCCTAAAAATGTGTTGTGCAAATAAAAAATTTGTATTCGTGACATTGTAACTATATGGGTTCTTCATTTACTGCTGCCTCTTTGGGGTTTTGGAAAATCTTGGCTCTGTATGTAGTTGATTACTTTTTCCCTTATTTTTAAGGAAGCCATCAGAGATTTTAAAATACTTCGTATGTCTTCAATTTTTAGAACGTGACAAGGAGAGGAAGTAGTCCTGGCAGCCTGGAAGTCCCAAAAGATCTCCCTGACATATTGAACAAGCAGAACCAAATGCGTCCCATAGATGACCCAGGCGTTCCTTCCGAGTGGACCTCGCCTGCCAGTGCAGGCAGCAGTGACCTCATCAGTTCAGATAGCCACTCTGACTCATTCAGCGCTTTCCAGTATGATGGCCGCAAATTTGAAAGCAAGTATATTTTCCAAAAGTAGTAACTTTTTAAATTGACCCCATGTTAATTTACTGGCGTGTTTTTGTGTTTGTTTTTTAAGTTACATAGCCACAGTCTTTTAGGAAGAAAGCTCATTTTGATTCCCCGTCAAAATCACTAGTAATGGAGCAAGCAGAGTTCTTGAGGTCATGTTTATACTATGCCAAATAATAAGACAGGACGGGGACACAATTGCTGAGCAGCAGTAAACAGAAGTTAGAAAGCAATGCTGTCTTTGCCGTGGGGTTTATCTGTTTGTTACCCACAGAATATAAAAAGGAAAGATTATTTATTTTGGAAGTTATTTTAGTTCTTTTGAAAATTTTTAAGATAAAATATGAAGAAGGGCTTCTAGTATTTTTACAGTGATCTTTATGTAGCTATAGATTAATCAAGATACTAAGTGCAGTATCTTCATAAATTTAGTATGATTTTTCTAAAGACTTAATGCTTTTCATTCATTTCATTCATCCATTTCTATTCTTGTTCATATGAAGGGGTCATTATAAGACCAAATATAGCAGTTGATAAGAATTATGACTTCATGTATTATGTAGGAGAGAAACAGTTTTATACAGTGGAAGTATTTTTTGAAGTAATTACAAGTTTTAGGAGGGTTAGGTGTTACATAACTAAGTGAGTCTATTTAAACTGCATTTCAACCTGACATTTTGTCCTTAGTGTTAAAACAGCTATTTGTCAGAAACAGTTATTTGTGACAGTATTTTTAGTTAGAAGTGTTTTAAACAAGTAAGTTTGGTGTTTCTTTCGGCTTATAAATTTTGCCAAGAAATTCCTTACTATATGTTTCCATTATTTTACTTTATTCTCATCATTTAGGTACATCTTTGGCAGCTAAAACAGAATAGAGAACATGTAATATAAGTTTCTTCTGGAAAAGTTCAGTTACAGTTTTGTGAGGGAAATAAGAATATTCATAATAGTAAATTACTTTCTACTTCAACATTTTATTTAATTTTTGCAGCAGTGTAATGGTAACATAAAAGATATACATATGCAGGTTTTGCATGGAGGGTTTTGAAGGTGCTGGGCTTCTATACTTTATACTGGTGCTATTTTTAAGTTGTCAGTTAATACGACGCTTTCATCCTACAGGTTTCAGCTTTGGCGCTGAGGCTGGGACACCAGCTTCCACTGAGGTTGATGCAATTTCAGGACAGCAACAGAGTGCTGAGGAGCAAGAAGTGGCCAGTTTAACTACACTTCATATAGATTCTGAAACAAGTAGTCTCAATCAGCAACCATTGTCTGCTGAAGCTGCAACTATTACTGGTAAAGTAGTTAAAAAAGAAAAATGTATTTATTACAGAAATTTTCCACCCAGCCTGGAGAATGCAGGTTTCAGCTTTTGCAATGAATCTGTGTTCTATATAAGATGATACTTGGATTGCAGTTATTTTTTGATTGCAATTGGAAACTAATGTGTGAAATAACCCAAATGGAAAACTTTTGTCTGATTTTAGTCACCCACTTGGTGCTTGGCGTGGTGCTAAATGTATTTTAACCTGCCCTGAGAAAATCCATACATTTATCAGGGAGAAAACTCTTACCACATAGTATGTGCTAGACCTTTACCAGTGTGTTTACCCGATCTTTTATTACTGTTAGCCAAATAGCTAATTTGCAGTTGGTGTTTTTTAACTTGAAAGACTGATATACAATGCTCTTTCAAACCAGTGCACCTCATGGGAGTCTTTGGTATACATCCATCTTAAGCTCTGTATTGTCTGTTGTGAAACTGGGAGCTTTTAATATGGAAAACGTTAATTACTGTGCCATGCAAGATCAGTTTCTATTGGTGTAACATAGGAATATCTTTTTCTTACAGTACTTGCCTTGTTTTTGGCATGAAAAAAGTAAACTTGTTAAGAAGTAAACCATTATTTAACAACCTGAGCTCATGAGTTTGAGGCTCCATGATTTCACTTTGCAACACTTTCTTAAGAGTTAAGATAACAACGATTAGCTTAGCATATATAATAACGATTAGCTTAGCAGTCACCAAGTGAGGCAATTAACCCAAACTTAGTGGGCTCCTTCCTGGAAGAGAGGATCTTCTTCCATATAATCTTCAGAGAGGAAGGATCTGTGAACCAGAAGTGAAGACATCCATAGTTATTTTCATACTCATTGTTCCATAATTGTTATGTAGTACCAGACCTTTTGCAGCCACAAGAACAAACACCTGTTTATCAGTGAAAGCTTACATCTACATGCGGTGTCCTGTTGTCTGTGACAAATCAAACTCTGCATTTTCAGAGATGTCGAAAGACATCTCAACTCTCCCTGCAACTATTTTCCCTTTCTGAAATTTCCTTTCTGCTCAGAGAAGCATAATATTAGCTTTCTTTGGACATTGTTGTTCAGCTTGTTCAACAATGTTCAGCTTGACTTTTGTTCTCTTCATTTTTCTATTTGCTGTGTGCTTGTTAAAAGTCCTAGCAAAAACAAAGGCTCTTTTTGTTTGTTTGTTCCTACATGTCAATAATTTCATTACTGCATTACTGTCCAAATTTGCACTTTAATTGGTAAGATTGCAATTAATGACCGCGTTGTCCGTTGAGAGAGTTCTGTAGCTGTCTCTTCTTGTTGTTTGGACCACTGTTTTAGAGCGATAGCTTTTGTGTGTCATACGCATTTGACCTTAGCCAGGTTTCCTGAGGAAACAAAGCTTCTGCAATTACACTGTCTCTGTCTGACTTTTCCACCTCTCCAACAACATTTGAGCCCATTGTCTAATTCCTGCTAAATTGACATAAGGAAGAAATCAGAAGAACATTAATTTATTGGAAATTTTATGAAAGATAGGCCGCAGTATAGTGAAAATTACAGGTATGAAGAGTTCCATGATGGGAGGCTGCAATGCGAATTCACTGTATTAAGTGTTAGCAAATCCATGGAGGAACTTAACCTCTAAATGCACTCATAAGAAATAAGCTTAGGATTTTTTTTTTTAGTGGCTTACAGGCATTGTTGCATATTCTTAGCAAATGAAAGATTCTACTGTTCTTTCTCTGTCCCTGTTTCTCCCTCTCTCTCTTTCTCCCTCGCTTTCTCTTCCTCTCTCATTCTCTCTCTCTTTCTCTCTCTCACGCTCTCTTTCTCCCGCACTCTTCCTGTCTCTTATTCTCTTTCTCATTCTCTCTCGCTCTTTCTCTCTTTCTCTCTCGTTCCCTCACTGCCTCCTACCCTCCAGGGGAACAGAAAGGAGGAGAAGTAGGAACAGATTTCTTTGAAGGGCTTTATAGTTTCTGTTAGCTTTGTGAGAAGGTAGAGTACAAGTGATCAGTAGCTAATGGGGAGTACTTTATCATGTAACTGTTAGAGTGAAACTTTTAGAGTCTAGGGTTTGAGGCAATATTGGACTAGGAAAGGCTTTTCCGCATAGTTTGTCATTTTTCATATTTTAGTGACATCTATGTGTATGTCCCCCTCTCTGGTATAGAGGCGTTGATTGAAATTAGTAGTGAAATCTATGTTGACTTTTTCATTTAAAGCAGATAGAAACCTGTGCAGCTTAACAATGAAATTAAGTTTGTTTACCACAATTTCTGTTCTGACAACACTCAATTTTTCTTTGAAGTTCTTTAAACAGTTTAACTCTCTTTACAAGAAAGAACGTTTGGCAGCGAGTAATTTGGGAAAATAGTATTGCAAGAGCCTCCCTTTTTTTTTTTTGCTCTCACTAAACTTATCTTTATCTCTAATACCAAAGTTCACACATCATTATAATATTTTTTGATCCTAATTTAATTTATCTAGGAGTTAAAATTCCATTCTTCCCTTTTAACATGCGCTAATGTGTAGAAAAAAAAATTTCACTGTTCTGACTAAGCTCAGCTATTTATAAGGGTCTTTGCTTAGCAGAAGATCATGCAGAGGAAAAGTGCATAAATAAGTACCTACCTTCCCTCCATAGATCTCTCAGTAGAGGAGACCAAATAGTTGCCTGGAAAGACAACTGGAAAGATATCTTTGCTGTACTGCCGTTCAATAAAAACTAGTATTTTCTGTTCTCCGAGGAAATCATGTTCCTCTAGCTATATAGAAATTCTCCCCATATAAATTTTCTCTGCCTGATTAGCAGATAAACATTGAGGAATTTCAGTTACTAATTTGAGCTTCTGTTCAGAAATTAACTTGCACACATCCATAAGTCTAGCAAAGCAGGTGCTCAAGTAAAATTTCTACTTAAACGCTTTGCTGGAGTGAAATTTAGGTAAGGGAAGGTAGAAAGAACCTCATCTGGTTCAGAGCATTGAAAGTGCTGCGGAAGAAAATAAGCACATTTAAAATGATTTGGACTGTAAAATAGAGATCTGTTAATACATTTACCTCTGTTGGCTTTGATGTTCATCTTTCAGCTTTCCTGTATGTAGTTTGTTTTCTTTCACCGTGCTATTCACAGAGAGATCTGCTTGCAGTTTTTATACTTCTTCTTGGCCAGATTTCATATATAAAAGTAGTTCAGTTTTCTTTTAATGTGATGTTTAGACAACATTTCAGTAGCTCAAGAAAATAGAAAAGGCTTTTAAGGTAACTGTTAAAAATTGCATTTGCAGGCTCTGAAAGTGCTTCTCCAATCCAATCTGCTCTTGGATCCCGATCACAGACACCCTCTCCTGCCACTCTGCATGCAGATCATATTGAGCAGAAGGATCTGCAGCTGGATGAGAAGCTCCACCACTCTGTTTTACAGACGCCTGATGACCTAGGCAATATCTGGAATAGAAAATATAAACATGTTCTTTCTTTCTTTCCAATGCAATATAGTAAAGTAGCTAGTATCCCATCAGTTATAGACAATCCTGTAGAAGGCTATTACATCTGCACTTTTAAAAAACGTTAATTACACTGGATTCCTTTAAAAACAAACAGTGTCTTGCATTGTATCTTGCGTTTCATGGCAACTCTTAGCTGTGGATTAATAATCCACAAATTTATAATTATTCTTTTTGATGATTAAAATTCTGGCAGTTTAGTGTGTGGGTTGCTGCCATGGACTTTTGCACCATTAACGTACAATTAATAAGAAGCAATTTAAAAATAATGCTGTAATTTCCTCTTGGAATATCTGTGGTTTTCCATGTCAGATATATACAAATTAGTAATTACTTTAACTTTACCTATTGAATTTTAGGGTACATTCAGTTTGTAAATATAAAGTTCCCATTTCTCTTATATTCGATTTCTTGGAAGTGTATCCGATGCAAATTTCAGTTCCTTTACTTTTCCTTTAAGTAGTCTACTGATGGACAGAAATGTCATCATTTTGCTTTGCACTTTGAAATCTCTAGCCGAGGAACACACAGTGTCTCTACCACAGTGGTCCAGATCTTCAAAAGAAGAGGCTATGTGATTGGGCTGAATTCAGATTTCATCTCCATTTTTTATGCTTCTGGGAGTAGCCAGATTTTCAGAAGATCCCAGTATGTTCTGGTGCTGAGGTGTTTTGAAAATCCATCTGAGAGGGTCAGAAGGGAGATTCAGGATGCCTGCTGCTTTTAAAACAAAACTTTGGCTTCTGTTTAGCTAGTCAAGTGGGAGATGAGTAGACTTTAGCCATTATAATCTGTCAGAGTTTTCCTTCTATGAGCAAACTAGATTAAACAGATCTGTCCATCTAAAAAAGGATGTTCATTGGTATAATGCGGATGTGTAGAGAGTGCCACATAAGAGTTATACTGTGAGGCTAGATTACCGAATGTTGCCTCTTCACTCTTACCAACTTATTGCTTAAAGAAGGGTAGCCAGAGGTAGTAGACTGTTGTTTACTGCCGTCTTTCTCTTCAATTAGCGAGTAAAATACATTCGTAGTAGATTATACGGAAAATGATCTTTCTGCTTTATTGAGAAAAAAGGAAAGTTGAAGCGTGATTTCACCTGGAAGCAAGCAAGTGGAGTTCTGGAGGTTCATTGAACCAAAAGAACGTAAGAAACTCAGTACAAATGCATGCCCATCAGACCAATGTTAGGACTACAGTAGTGACCTTGAATGGATACTTAGGGAAAAGATACAAGAGACCAGACAATTCTGGTATTACAGAGTTTAAAAGTAGACATGTAGTTCAAGTTAGACATTTTCAGTGCTGAGGTGGCTACCTGGGTAAGAAATACCTTACTCTAAAAGCCTTTTTTCCCCTTTGTTTTTAAGGAATTCTGTATGTAATAGTTGTGTCAGACCTGTTCTTTCTTTAGAGGGGTGGTTCTCACTGTACTTTTTTCGTACGTTACAGAAACTAGTGAATTCCCCTCAGAATGTTGCAGTGTGATGGCTGGGGGAACGCTTACAGGATGGCACGCAGATGTTGCTACTGTAATGTGGAGGCGAATGCTAGGAATTCTGGGAGATGTCAACAGCATCATGGATCCAGAGATTCATGCCCAGGTTTTTGATTACCTGTGTGAACTGTGGCAGAATCTGGCCAAGGTAAAAGAACTGAACCTCTTCCCCAACATGACCTGATAGGGTAGGATTTTCAGAAGAAAAATCTTATGTATTTCCCTTAAATGTTTATCCTTTGGGTTTTGTTTTTAATAATTGCAGATAAGAGACAATCTTGGTATTTCAACAGATAACCTAACTTCACCATCTCCACCAGTTTTAATTCCACCACTGCGAATTCTAACACCGTGGCTGTTCAAGGTAAATATAAGTGGGAAGTAATAAAACAGAAGTAAAAGTTCTTGTAGTTGCAGAAGTTTTTTTCATTTATGAATAATAAATATTTTTCTGAAACTGTAGGCAACAATGCTGACTGATAAATACAAACAAGGAAAGTTACATGCTTATAAACTCATTTGTAAGACAATGAAGCGAAGACAAGATGTTTCTCCAAATAGGGATTTTTTAACTCATTTCTACAATATAATGCACTGTGGACTTCTTCATGTTGATCAGGTAAGTTTAATTACAAAATTCAGGCTAATATGAATAGTATAACTGAAAATATAATAGATTTGTCAAAAATACTGAATAGATTTTCAGCTGAGTAATTTAACTTTGTGTGTAAAATTAGTTATGTGACTGATACATTTTTACCAAGGTTTGGTAACCTGCCCTCATGTTCTTGGATGTAATCAGAAATGCTTTTTTGTAGTCCATTTCCAGCAAATAAAAGGGCAGAAAATGTGTTCTCTCATCTTTTACTGATTGTCTATTATGGATTGAAATGTGGAAGAAAGACACAGAAGCAGATCTCTTTAAGGTCTACTTAAAGGTTCTCTTCTCTAGAGAGAACTCTTTACTTGCTCCATGATGCAGCAGTTGAGCTAGTGGGAAAGTTACCATGCTCACTGTGTATTTAATGTCACTTATTTCTAAGCAGTGTAGGAACCAGCAAACTCAGATACCTAAATAGAGAGAGTTGGGGATATCCAGCAGCACATCCTTATTGTGTCCCATCTGAATAGTGGGATGACATCTGGGTGTACAGAATCCCATGCCATGGGCAAGGGTTTCCTTTAGAAGAACACCCAGACAGATGGACAGAGAGGGAAGCATATTGTCAGTATTGCTGCTTATCTGGGAGTCAGGATGATAGGATGCACTGCAAAGCACGTGCACTCAGCAGTTTGCAGTTTACACAGCCACTTTGGTTCTGATCAGTTATTTAGCCTCATTACATGCTTCTGCACAGTCACTTCTTGTTATTGAACCAAAATCTAGCTCTGTTTGCAAGGTAATATAAATCTTTGCAGAACTTATCTCCACAGTACCTCTTTTTGACAACTGTTGCTACTAGTGGAAAAAAACGTGTAGGAAAGATTGAATGACCGTGGGGTCGTGTACAGATCGATTTGTGAGAGCCAGGTTCAGCTTTATGTCTTCTGTGTAGACCAAGCTCTGATCCAAAACACAGAATTGTTGTCTGATAAAAAGCTTTATCATGGGAGAGAAGAGCTCCTTTCCTACCTTTTATGAAAGGAGAATGTTAGCAAGATTTGCATCATTTATCTGTACTTCTCAGATGCATACAGAAAAACCTTGTCTCTGTTACTAAAATCACTGAGAACTGTTTCTCAACATACTTTTTTAAAACAAATGGAAATGTTTAACTGCAGAATATTTTAACCCGTCTGTTTATTTGTCTAAACCAATTATACTTGCTTCAAAGATATTTCTGAAAATAGTCTCCAAGTGTTGCTGACCGTAATACTGTTATTCTAGTATTATGTATATTAAGCAAATGTGAAAGGTTTAACTTTAGTTAGAATTTAGTTTGCAACTCTGAAGTGAAGTGACAGGTATTTCTTTTTTTTCTAATCAGGATCTCTCAGAATAGTTTTCCTTAAATCTCTGACATAGACAGTTAAAAACTAATGCCTGTCTTTGATTTTTGGCAACAAAGGCCTCTGAGCTAATAATCTAGGAGACGAAATTCTTCACAGAAAGTTGGTAGAAAAAGAGGAATCCATCTCAAATAAGTAGATCGTTTCTGAAGTCTTTAAACCAAAAACTGAAGAGCCAAAATATGCTTTTAAGAATCATCCATATCTTTTGCAGCTTCTTTGTTGATCATTTTCAGGAATTTCCATATCTATATTGCATAAGCGTATACAAGGATCAGTGAAGAAAAAGAGCAAGGAACTTTATGATTCCAGTTGTTTAGGTTATTACACAATTTTCCCATTACTCACAGAGCAATCTTAAAGGCAATTTAGAAGCATTTGTTAAGGAGTGCCTTAGGAACATAATATCAAAATCTAGCTGTACCACTTAATTCACCTAAGATTTTGTCCCAGGAATAATGTATTTAAATGCAATGGTAAGGAAGATGCTCGTTCTAAACTTAGCGATTTATCTTAAAGCACAATTTTAATGGGACAAACTTTGCTCATGTGCTGTGCTACATTTGACTGCCTTTATTTTCCTTTAATTTCTGTTTCTCTTTTTCTTGATGCTGCGTTGGCAGATTATCACCTTCAGAAAACAACAAATTTCAGTTCTACTCTTTGAAAATGAACAAATTAGTCTTTTTTCCCAGGTCATCCATGAAATGAGCAACTTCAGAATTTTCATCATGAAATAAATATATTTTTAATATGAAAATAACTGCCTTCTGCATCGTTACTCTTATGAAAAATTGCCATTCCTTTGTGTTCAAAAAGCACAGATTTTTTTTTTAATTTGGAGTCTTTTTTTCTTCGTTTTTTTGAGGCTGTAGGGAATAATCAGGTTGCAAGCTTGTTTCCAGAGCTGCAGAGACTCAAACTTCTCTTTAAAGAAAGCTTATGAATCGAGGAACTAGAGCTATAAAACAAGAGCTATTGGGCAAATTTGCAGCCATGTGACTTTTTTCCATGCTTAATAAGAATGGTATCGTTTGATTAGCTTGGAAGTTGAAATCCTTTTTATCATGGTGCAGAATTAAGTTAACCTTTTCCTTCATATCCTCATGCTTTCATTTCATGAAAAGTAAAACAAAATATTTCTTTTACGTAGGTTTTAATATGAAGAAATCTGAAAATATTGTATTACTTAAACATTCTTTTTAAAGGCTCGGATCAAAATTGTGAAAACATTAATTTTGTGAACTGTTCCGATGAGCAGTTAGAAGCACAGGGGGAGCAAAGGTTCAAACAACCCTGTTGTGATTAGCAGGGCAGAGTAGGACTAGTCAAAAATTATTCTACAGACAGCTAGGAATAGGACTTATCTCCAGTTTCTCTCCTCTGACAACTAGATTCCCCAAATTTTCTTGCTGAGTTGCAGATATTCATATAACATATTGCCATTCTGTTGGAGAATTTTTCAAAGATAGAGAAGGATTACTTTTTTTCAACCTGTGACATTCTTTTTAATGCTGACTATATTTTATACTCTTTCCAGTACTTGTGAAGAAATTGCATCATGTACATTAATTTTGAAAACTGCCTCACTAAGTCTACATACATTTAATACTCTATATGTTGAATAACTGCATGCCAGAAATGTTGTGAAACACTTATATTATACTATACTATACTATACTATACTATATTATATTATATTATATTATATTACCTTATATTATGGTTCCATAAAGGGTATGTGCAAGAGGTTAATACCTTTTTTTAATGTTATAGTCAGGTGGTACCTGTTAAAGAGCATTAAGCATGTTAAGACGGTGTAACAGCTGGTTATCTCAGTGTATCTGTTCTGTAGATATTTAAATGAGTGAGTAATCATTTATAAAGGTCTTAAAAGCAAAATGTACGTGGATATAACGTGTGACCTGTATAGCTTGGAACTATAGTATCCAAGGATAAATTGATCTGTAAAATGTACCACAGGTTACTTACATTAGGTACCTTACTTAAGGCATTTGTCTGTCTTTATGCTAGTTCTTGCTCAATCATGAGAATTTAACACATCTTGTTTGCCACAGTGAATTTGCTTTCTTGCTTTTTTATTTTACTTCTGAGCTTTAGTAACTATCTACCAGTTTTCTTTCCATTGGTGGTTCATCATGTTGATATTTCTCTTTTCCTTTTTTCCTTCTTCCTTCTGCAAGGATATTGTCAACACAATCATCAAGCACTGTTCTCCTCAGTTCTTTTCACTTGGCTTGCCTGGTGCCACCATGCTTATTATGGATTTCATTGTAGCAGCAGGAAGAGTGGCTGCTTCCTCGTTTCTCAATGTAAGTATGCATCAGTTCATTTTCATTTGTGTGTAAGTGGGAAGAATTTTGAGAGAAAGCTAAGCAACATTTTGCTTCAGTTGGAGTGTTAATTTGTCCCCAGAAGTCGATTTAATGGCAAATACAAATATTGCTAGTAGTTTATTCTTGAACACTAAACTTGCAAGTCCTCGCATGCAAGTTCTCTGCAGAAAATACAATGTGAAGAATATAAAAATTACTGCTGATGCAGAGTATCTTTTTTTTTATTTTTCACTTGAGATTACCAGCAATTCTGACTGCCACTGATCTGTGCTTTAAATGTTTTAAAATATCTGTCCATTTTGACTGTGCCTTCATTTTAAAAGTGTATTTATTCCTCCATATCTCTGCCATGCAGTAACTTTCATGGTCAGGCTTGAGAACTCTTGAAACTGCTCAGGTTTGCACTATTCAGATGTATTTCTGATATTACTACCTAGGCAACTTCAGCCTTATATGATATTACTGATATAGCAGCCTAGATGCAGTTGGCGTTGCATGACTCTACTCCCCAAAAGGTCCCCAGTACCACCCTCCAGTTGTCTGTAAGTTTTGGCTGCTTCTAACCTCATCCCCCCCAATCACTTGTGAAATCCAGCCGTCCCTCCAAGCACTGTCGCTAGCTTTTGTGAGCTCCTTACATTGTTACCTGTGGTGTCCAGGAATGTCTCAAGTTGTGTTCAGTAGTTTTCCACATCCTGTTTAATTAGCTGAACCTGAAGTCTGAGCCTAGTCAGTGGTGCAGTCATTTTTCTGTAGTCCTGAAAATTCCTTCGTTTCCTCTGGCTGGTTTGGAAAATGGGAACGTGGACTATGCATGAGTAGCAGTCCACTGAGCCATGATCTCTGATGAGTGGTACAGAATTTGGAGAAGGAAAAGGAATGTAATTGTGTAGAATTTCAGCCATTCTCCTTTAAGGTCTAAAAATGTCACCTTCCTGGTTGTGGTAAAAATATGTATTTCCCCCCCACCTTTGTTTCTTCCAGGCACCAAGAGTTGAAGCACAAGTTCTTTTAGGATCTCTTGTCTGTTTTCCCAATTTGTATCATGAACTACCAGCTCTTCACCCAAACATTCCTGATATTGCTGTGTCTCAGTTTACAGATGTTAAGGTAGGAGTTTTAAGAATATTTGGATGGTATTGCAGCTACCAATTACATGCTTAATATGATATTGTTCTAGAAAATATTAACTAGTATTTAAGATTCTAAAATTTGTCATAAATCCTCTGAAATAGATTATAAGGCTCAAGGTTCCATAAAAGCTTGTCAGATTTTATACTGCTAAACATACTTTGTAATTACTTTTAACTAATAAGAACAATAAAGTGCTTATGTATGTTTATAAAAGGAAACCATGTGTTGCTCTGCTGTTTCAAGATCACTCTTATTATGGCTATTTGAAGTCTGACAGATTTAATCAGCTGAGAAGGAGAAGACTGTGAGGTTCAAGATACGTTATTTAATTTATTGGGGATTCACAACTGCTAAAATCTTCCTGTTTTCTTAGGGGCTTTAGAAAACCTCTATACATCCAAAAAAAAAAAAAAAAAAAAGATGAACAGTGGTCTTGCCCTCACTGTCGCAACACAGAGTTGGGTAGTGTGCCATTATACTGGAACTGGCCATAGCTCAGGTCGCATGTTAACTGCTCTGTGTATGTCATGTATTATTACTATGTCTAAGTAAGGTTCCCCATAAGTTTCCAACATACTTCAATTTAAAGAGGGATAGTGGTTTGGAAGCTGCTTTACACTTCACTTCTGTTTCGGAACTGAATTTGAATTCCTGCTTTCTCATTGTTATTATATAAATTGCATTTATTGCAGCTGCATGTACTACTATTGACCTGAGCTTTACGAGAAGCAAACTACAGCTTTAGGGACATTTAATCTTAGTTTACTCTGAATTGCTCTCAATATCGTTCTTAAGGCACTGGATCCACTTGTTCTGCAGTTACGTCTAAAGACGTTTTAATCAATATAATTTTGATGGGAAAAAATGCTTGTTTAATACCTAGCTCAAAGTAACCAATAGATACTTTCTGTAATACCCTTCAGGGCTGTTTGCAGAAACTAGCTTTAGGGAGGCCAGATTTTTTTTAACCTTGATAATTTATGGAAATGTATTGGAAAGAATCAGACAAACAGTTAATCAGCAGAAATTAGGACTTGGGTAGCACAACAATTAACATATGGGGCAGACTGGAAACTGGGAGTAGTGGTAAGCAAACAGTTCATCTGACCCCAAAACTAGAGACTAAGCTAAGCAATCTGCCTGAGTCTACTATAGTACAACCGTAATGTTCTGATGCCTCATGTGATGGAGTTGTTGGCAAATCAGTGAGCATTTTCCTCTTTGTTTTAGGAACTCATAATTAAAACCGTGTTAAGTTCTGCAAAAGAGGAGCCATCTGGTCCTGCACGGTAGGTCATACAAAAAGGGCTTCTAAATTAAAAAATTCTTTTCTATATTATACTGTGTTCAAGTGGATGCATTAGAGATCTTAAAGTAAAAGCTGGCATATATTTTATTCATGGGCTTCTACACCAGCATCAAAACTGTGATTCACCATGTGAATTTGAAATTGTTTGTAAGTTAAGATAAAAGAACAGACGTTTTTGTTCGACCAAATGTTGGTCTAGCCCAGTATCATGTCTCTGATAGTGGCTGATAGAAAAGGATTGAAGTATGGGTAAGAATATAATGGTATTTCTCCTGTATGTTCTCCCAGCCTCCACTGGTATGCAGTTCAGGGATTTTCTGTACTGGAGAGGAAATTTTTTGAGTTAGATTAAGGATAAGATTATTTATATGGGGAGTATGATTATCTTTTATTAGACCAGTTAATTTAATGGAATAACAGAAAAAATCCAAGGTACATGAGCCTTTCTTTAGGATATGGAAAAGAAGAAGTAAATATTGATCTAAATATAAATGGGAATGATTGCTCTGATGAATTAAACCTGAGTATGTTCATCAAATAGAGAACTTAGAAGAGTTACCTGTTGTCTTTTCTGTTTCTTACTTTGCTTAGGATTTTGTTTCTACCTCCCTGGAGCCCTTCTGTTATAGAGTATTTTGAATTGGAGTGGAGTAGGAGCCTGTAATGCCTATCAAAGGCATTTGTGTGCCTTGTGTATTTGGGTAGAGTGTCTATATATGCTCAATTAATAAACTGTTACTGAGAAAAAAACGCAAAATACTAGGACCACATGCCTGAAAATGTTACTGGAAAGATAAGTACTTTGCTGCTTAGAACCTTTCATTGGAAAACCAAGAGCAATCTCCCTCAAGTGTTGCACGCATCAACCCACTTAGCTGTTCTTCACCTTGAGGTGGTAATACCTCTCAGCACAGGGGAAGGAAGGAACGTTCTGAGATCATTTTCTTTTCATTTTTCATGTCGTTTTGCAAAACTGAGTTCTAAAAAATACAACAGTCCCCATTTTACCTTTGAAAAAGGTGATTTAATTCTGTTTGATTCAGAACATTGTAACTGGTCCTATGGGACTGAAGCACATAGTATTAGCACCTTCATTTTGACAGTGTGGCCAGGAAGTGGAAAAGAACATGCTGCACATCCTGATATCCTGTCTGACTGTGAGGATGTGTATATTGGAGCAGGATACACATCTGGATGTCCAGCTTCTCAGAATGCTGAGGTATCCTGCCCTACAATGCAAAGATTGGGACCACTTTATGTAGTAAAGAAGACTAGAGGAGGATTAAAAGGGAGTAGATTCCCAGAGTTTCTTCGGGTTGTCTGTGCCCCCTCCTTCTGGGAGAGAGAGAGGTATGTTTTCATTGTGGAGATAATGATTTTCTATGCCTGCCTTTCTTAGTGGCAATTGATCCACCATCTCTTCTGGGAATAACCTACCTGATACCCCGCTTCACAGTGGTACAGAATTCACCTGTGTTACTATCAGAGGTCACATTCAGGGTGTGCATTACAACTGTGCCACATCGGCTCAGCCACTAGTAGAAGTGTAATTCTCCTAGGCAGTTTCCTGGAAGAGAGCTTAGGCTTCTTGGAACTTAGATACATAGCTTCATATATCTCTAACAAGTCTGAGTGGTGTTATTGTTACCCTCGCTATAAATTTTTATTCCTCGTCTCTTCCACAGAGGCTCGATGTTTTCTGTTTTTCACTGCATACTTGACTCCACTGAGCTTCAGGGAGGTCAGCTATCTCAAATATGTTCTAATCTTAGATCTCCATCTGTAAAGATTAATAACTATATTAATCCAATTCCTCTCTTACTGCTGACAGTCTGAAAAATGTCTGAAAAAGAAGTAACAGGTTGATGAACTCAATGTTCATATTTTCTTGTACTGTTGAGGCTATGATTCTTCAATAACAACATTGTAGCCCCACAACTACAGAGTTTTTCAGGAGCTGCTCAGAATGACAGCTATGCTGATGTTCCTAGTAGAAACCTCACAGGCTTCTGAATATCTTGCAAAACAGTACATCACCAGATGTGGCGTGGTTGTCAATAGTAAGAAGAAAACTCTAAAAACAGTAAGAGGGACTCAGAACTGTCTACCTTCTGTATACTAAAGGTTTATTTTCTGAGACAGCTTACACAAACCATCTGTGCTTATCTGTTATGTTCATGCTGAGCTCTTATTTTCTTTGGTCAAGATGTATTGAAATACCTATTGTGGAAATGGCAAAAGTGTTAGATTAGGAAGGGACCATGAGCAGTTTTGTAAGCTTCTCTTTTGACACAGAAATGCATCTAAACCATTCCTGGGGGTAGTTTCCCTAAATTGTTCTGAAATTTTTCTCAAAGAGAAAAATTACAGCAACTTTAGATAGATTGTTCTAATATTTAGCTAACTTTTACAACTAGGTAGTTTTTATGACTAGTATCTAGCAGAAGTCTTTTCTGTGGCAAGTTAAACTCCTTGATGACTTACTCTGTATCAGAAGATTTGTTATCATTTCCCTTCTTAACTGTAATCTAGAGTCAATAAGCCCTTCAGTTTTCTTTTCATATGTTGTATTTCCCAAAGCTCTTTATTATTTTTGTCACTTTTTTTCTGGACTCCTTGAAAATTATCTGTATTCCTCTTAAATTTTATTATCCAAAATGTAATGGAGGTACAGCAATTGAGACTTCAGCAATGCTGTGCAGAGCAGTGTTCGACATCTTATCCACACTATTACTGTTAGGCAGAACTCATTCAAAGATGTGGTTTTGCAACATATTACTGATTTCAAATAATTTATGGTTCTGTCTAGTCTTAAAATCCTTTTCCATGACCCTGCTTCACAGATCCTTCTGTTTCTGTTTCTATGTTATCATATAATTTTTCCTTTCCATATGTAGTGCTTTGCAGTTCTCAGGACCAACTTTTACCTTGTTTTTGCGCCATTTTTCCAACTTTATCCAGCTCATTTTGAATTCTGATGTTATTTCCAAAATGTTTGCAGCCTCTTCCAACTTGTTGTTATTTAGTTATTTATGTAGTCTTTCTATAGTCCTTATATAGTCTTAGTTGTTTATATAGTCCTTATAGTTGTTATTTATATAGTCCTTATTGTATTACCCAAGTCATTACTAAAAGTACTGATTAGACTTGGTCGCATAACAAATTCCTTTGTGGCATCCCTTTTGAGAAGCCCCACCAATTTGTTTGTATACTGTTGATAATTAGTCTGACTGCGCTTGCACACCTATCCTGTGGTGGTTTCCACTAGGCTGACTTCTCTTTATTTTGCTTACGGAAAAAGTCACATGGGACTTCTTACATCTGCTGCTTACTCTTCTTTTCAGTAACACAAGTATCCTGTCAAAGGAAGACACTAGTTTGGTTTGACATGTTTTATTCCTAAGAAATCAACTTTGACTGGTTTTTATCATCTTATTTTCTTTTTCTTCTTTACTTATAACTTTTTTTTCTGATCTCTTTCTTGATATCAAAATTGCTTAGATTATAATTGCCATAATTAACCATTCACTCTTGGTATAGGTAAAGTGTTTGCCTCTCTCCAGTTCCCTGGAACATTTTTTTGTCCTTTAGTTTTTGAAAATAATGACCAATGCTTCAGCGGTTGCTTCAGCTAGCTCCTTAAACATTTCTGAGAAAATTTCATCTCTCTCTACTGATTTGAACGCATCTGTCTAAATATCCTTTGCCTTCCCGTTTTTCATCTATTTCCTGATTTTAAAAGAAGGAAACAACAACAAAAAAGTTGTTTTAAATGTCTAGTCACAATAAGTGCACTATGTCTAGCCTTCATTTACCCCTCTTCATTCATCCTTGTTTATTGCCAACCTAAAAAAAAAAATTAAATATCTGTGAATGAATAACATCGCCTCTCCTGCCTCTGTGTCTGAAAGCCGTAAACAAATATGAGCAAACGCTCTGTTTGGGGAGGAGGCTCCCCCTCCCCCCCAGATTTTTAGTTTTTCTTAAGAAAATGTATATGAATTTTCCAGGTGTTGATTTCCGGTAGAATTTTTAATCTGGAAAGTGTAAAAGAGCTGCAGGAGTTCTTAATTTCTTTTGGTTCCTTTTAGCTGCTCAGAAGAATGTTCCCCTTGTTCTTTCCCTGTTTCTTGGTCTGAGTAGTTGCGATATCTTACTCATTTTTTAAATAAGTTACAGCATTATACAGGTTTTTCATAATTCCTTTAGAAATTTTAAAAACATATTTGTTAGATTTCACCGGAGCGTATCATGAATCATAGAAATGAAGACATTCAGGATGCCATAGCTTGTTTCTCAGCTATTTGTTTTCCAACATTGTTTTGCAGATGTGTTGCACTTTGCAGTCTTGGCATTTGGATCTGTGAGGAGCTAGTTCATGAATCACATCATCCTCAGATCAAGGAAGCACTGAATGTGATTTGTGTTTCCTTAAAGGTGAGAAATTAACTCTTTTGCAATATATATTATCTTTATAGGTAAAAATACTTTGCATCTTCAGAATCATGATCACATTTTAGCATCCTTACTTCACATTCTTAGTCCTTACAAAGGAATGAGTTCAGTTTAATTGGTGCGTCTCTGAACTCTTTTACAAAAGAGATCTGTATTATGATTTACCCTTCTTTAAATTTGGAAGAAACGATGTTCTGGGACATGAGACAGTGGATCTTTAAGTACAATTAAACTACTAGAGTCCTAATACAATATGCCGCCCCCTTACATCAGCCATTGTCTTTTTTTTGTTTGGTTTTCCCCCGTTCCCTTTTTCTTTTGCCTACCTTAATATATGTCATTACTCACCTCACTCTAACCTCTAGCCTTTGGAGCATAACAGTTTATGTTTGTCTCCTAATTTCTGATAAATAATCCCTGCAATTCAAGTTTCAGCAAAACCAGTACTGGCTCTGTCTGACTTTGTCCAGCTATACCCTTTCCCATCATCGCCTATCACATCCAGTACCCAAGGTTCCAGCAGGACTTTCCGCACCTCTTTGTAACTCGCTGACTCCTAGCAGGTCATCTAGGACCCCTGTAAAGTTACAGGAGCACAAAAGTGCCAAGGTCTTCCCTTATCCAATAGTTGTATCTCCTGTGTAGACTAGACGTGGATGCCCAGGGAAATCACATTCCTCACTACTTGGCAGCCTGGGTTCCCCAGCTCTGATTGATAGTACTGTTGAAGCCTCCATGGTACATCCTCCTGACACATTGCAAAAGGGAAAGGCCAAGGTAGAGAGGAAATTGGAAGGGATCCCAGGTTTGTAAACCATCTGCCATCGTATGCAAAAAGCCTGTCCCAAGCCAAGTTGCTGTCTTTGTGTGACTGCCGGACTGAACAGAGCGTCCACTGTAAGAGGGGGACAGGGAAGAAAGTGGGAAGGTGACAAATACAAAGGGCAAGCAGAATTTTCCTGAAGCCTCTCATGCTGCTTTTTCACCTGCCCTCTCTTTGCCCCTTCCTACCACTCCCACTTTCCCCATATCCTGACTGGGTTCTGTGCCTCTTCACTTCTAAGTTTGAGAGCATTGCATTATGCAGTATTGCTTCTCAGACCTGGCCGGATATCTAGAGGTAGGTAGGGTGCTTCTACTAGATGCATGGAAGCGCTGGCATATGTTCAGTTTTCTGTGGTAAAGTGCTTCTTGGCATTTGTTCCAGGATGGTGTCACTCGAAACAGGCCAGTACCTGTTAGAAAGAATCTGAATCCAAAGACAGATCAAGAGTTTGTATCATAGAATAATAGTATTTTTTTAATTGGCATGAAAATAATTTGTAAGATAAAACTTTAGAGTGTCTGGTAGTCACCATACTCTTCTCCAGGTTAAATTCTTGAACTCTAGGATGATTTACTGTTTTGGTATTTGGTCTTCTGTTTGACTCTGTTAAACCTAGCTCATATGCACAGTGATTCTCATTCTCAAGCCCAGCTTTGAGATTTCCTAGTGGTGGTATGTCAACAGCTTCCTTTTATCATCTCTCAGTTACAAAGCATTTTTTTGTCAATCTGTCTTTTCTCCCTGATATGTAACTATATTTTTTCCCTACTTCTTACAAGTCTGTTCCCTATTAGTCCATATTTTATGGAATAATTAGAATATTTTATTTAAAGCATTTTATTTTCTACCGTTTTGCAGACTTGTTTTGTTTATTATCAGCAATATCTTCAAATTTCTTAATGTTTCCCCATTTATTTTCAGCTTTCTACATGCTCTTTATTTACAGCCAAGGTCAATGAATAGTCTTTTTGGATATACGTGATGATACAAATGGGGGTATACACCTGTACTATATGGCTTGTGCAGATGTTGCTAGCTAACTATTGTTCTCTTTTCAGCAAAGTGAAGCTCAAAGGTATCATAAAAAAACATCTGATTCCATCCTGTGGAGCAGGATTTGAGTCTACTTCTAAAATGGATAGCTTCAGGGCTTTTAGTCTTAGACCGTATATTGCAATTTCCTGTTACGCAGAAAGACATTAATTTTTTGCAGCTTCACTGTCATTCTTTTCCAGGGTCTTCTCCTTGCATTTTAGTCTCCCTTAACTGGTGTGTTTTAGTAAGTTCCTGTGCAAGCTTGATATTAGGCAAATGATACTATTTTTATCTTATTTCTCCAGTTTATCAAAAATTTTGAACTATTTTTAATCCCAGCAAGCCCACTGTGCTTTCTCCAATTTTTCTTTGACGTATTTCTTAAACCAATTATTTGTAACTCATTTATATTTAACATAAATTACTTCTTGAATGAGAAGACAAAGATGTTTATATTTCTACTTTGCGTTGCTTTGTGTTGGCAAAAATGTCCAGAGCATGCTGGTTTTTCTCCTGTTCTGAGTACTGGTATAAATTTACAAGAGAACTTAATCATGGAATGAAGAGTTCATAAATATATCATAGGAAAACAAATTAGCTCTAATTTGTTACCTAAGCAGTATCTTGGTTTCCAAGTAGTCAGAGCTCTGAACTCCGAGAATGGATTATTTTCTTGTTTTCAGGAGAAATCAATGGATAGAGAGCTATAGTCCTAGTCCAACTTTTTGATGAGTACAGTTGGGTAAATAGTATTGAATAGAAATGCTAGCAAAATTATATGCTTATTGCTGACATAAAGAAGCACTGTCAGACCTCCAGTCCAGCAGCTCGCTCTGCATATAGCCAGCACTTCGCTAAACAGAGTGGTCATACCGCTGTGTCTGTGTTAACCTGTGCAGAAAGTCTGAGCAAAGAGGATCCTAACCAGACCCCTGCATCTCAGGGTTATATAACGTTCTTCTCAGAAATGCTGCAGATAAATCACGAAATCGTATGTTGTACATTCCTAGTGGAATTAGTGCTAAACATAGGTTACCTGCAAGCGCGGACAAGGGTAAACTACTAACGTAAGATCCGGAAAGCAGTGGGTCCTTGAGAAGATGAAAAATGTGGTACACTGAGAGTTAGGCACCAATCAAAGTGCCAGTTCATTGAATGCTTTTTTATACCCATCATTAAGTAACTTTTAAAAAAAATGTTCACAATTACACTACTAAATGTGAATGCATATGAAAGTGGTGAATTCTTGTGCTTTATAACATAACGCGTTCTGCTGAGATAAAGGGTGGCTGGTGGAACGTTTGTAGCATTGCAGAGCCTGCTTTGTACCACAGCTGAACGCTCTCGGGAAAGATAAATCAGCACGAAGCAGGCTTCAAAGGAGAGAGTTGTTCTGCTTTCCAGCATAAACCAGGAGTTGCTGCTCAAGTTAAGGAAAATGTGCTTCCAAGACATGTAGCTCTGTAAGTGACTGCTCTAAAGTTTCTGTTCTGCAACATGGTATTGACCATGCTGGGACAAGATTTGTGAAGCAGATGAAGGGTTTGGTCTGTTATTTCACCAAGCCCTGTATTCTTAATCAAACTTTATACCCAATGCTCTTTCCACGAATAAAACTTGAAAATTTATATGCACAAGATTTGAACTCTACTTTTATTCATTACTTTATGCCCTTCAGCCTTTCTGAGAAATTTATGGCTCCACTGACTTATTCCCTTTCTTAAATTAAAAAAACAAAACAAAGCAAAACAAAACTCTCCAGCTAGAGCACAGAGAGAAGCTAAATAATTTGCATAAGCCAACACTAGAAATCACTCACTCATCTTCACTTTATAGCCTGATGTTCCTTTTTTTTTTTCCCTTTTAACAAAAGATAAAAGAAAATGCTCACTGTTTTTAAGTAGTGAACAGCTGATTGTTCAAAGACTATGAAAAGTCTCCGGGTCTTTTTCTCAGGTAATTTCTTTTTCAAGTCAATAATCCAGATATTCCGTATTAGGCTGTTCTGGTTTGTCCACACCTTTGGTCCTCCCTGGTGTCAGTGACTTTGGTGTTATTCCTGCAAGTTTGTAAGGATCTTTCCAGCAATCTGGATTTGATGTCAAGTTTGTAATCATATTGTTAAGCTTTCAATTTTGTGTAATTTTTTACTTGTCACTCAGGCTTAAACGTTCAAATTGGTACTCTGCTTACTGTGCTTTTACGGTATTCTTTCACAGAATGGAGAGAGGCTGTGTTGTCAGGAAAAAAAAATGGTATTCTAGTTTTAAACCCTGGGAGGACTTGCAGGTGTAAGATGCCTGCCATGTTTTTGTTAAAAGCCAACAATAGCATGAAACTACGTACAGCGAGAAAAAAGAAGAGACAGAGAAAAAATTAACTACCCTGTGTACGCTGGTTTCCGTCTCTTTGGCTGGCTTACAAGAGCTGCTCATAGTCTTTCTTTATGCTTATATCAATACTGCAAATAAAAAAAAATGTTAATTAAAGCTTTGTGCTCCATGCTTCTGCTTAGGCTCCTGCTTGTTATTGCCTTTTCAATACCTTAAATGTAAAAAATGATGGTTTGGCTGCAGTAAGAAGCGGGCCAAGGCAGAATTTCTTCCAGTCTGTTTTCCACCCTTAATATTTTACCATCCAAAAATTTTATTCAGAAATCCTTAATTTTGTGTTCAAGCTTCATTGCCCAAGCTTTTCAACTTTCTTAAAATTTTTTTAGGTTTTTGGGTTATGCCCTTCTGTGAAAGATTAGTGGAACTGGACTGATGGAGGGGACAGTCTAAGAAAACAAGAAAATACGTCCCAAGTATTTTTACAACATAACAAACCCTCTTTGAGTTCAGAAGTAGGCACCTGGCCACCTCGCAGCGTGCTCTTGCAATAGGTCCACTGCTGAATAAAGTGAGATTAACAGATGTAAACTACTTTGTTATTCTTCTAAAAAAGCAGGAATTCTAATGTCACTCACTTCTGTCCTGTGGTGAAATAGTGACAGTGCTCTTTTAGGATCCTTCCTGATAAAAGCATGAATTACCTATTTTCTGAGTGACTTGAGATTCATCAGTAGTATGGTTTGGAATACTTCCTTTCAGTAAAGAGAGAGTATTTTCTTGAGTAAGAATATATTCAAAACCCTTTCCTTGGGGATATTGCATGTAATTTTTTCTTTTGTGAAGTTTGTTCCATCTTCTGAAGTCTGTAGTTTTGCTGTGCTAATAACCGTTTTGAGTGCATATTCATCTCAGATTTGTAGGGTTTTCACGTCCTAGAAGAATAAAATTCACTTCTAAAATTCACTTTGTGTTTGTTATTTGAAGCACAGCTGAGGGTTTTAAGGCTAGTACAATGAAGGAAAAACCTCAGTTATGTTCCATGTGCGTTAAATGTTTAGGGAAGTATATCCCTGTCCCTTCATTTCTTTGTCTTCCCTGTTAGCAGTGCAGGGCAGTATGTACGTCCACTCCCAAGACCGCCGAGTAATTGGACAAATTCTTTCCAGTCTGCCTTGACCAACACTGTAACTTAAACATTTCAGTAACTGTTTAAACCAGGCTCCAGTGCAGCAACATTCTCCCACCTTGAAAAGATTACACAGAAAAAAGGAGTCAAGGGCAGGAGCCACAGTGCATTCTTTTCCACTGAAACCAATGCTGTATATAGCAGTAATTAACAAATAACAGAAAAGTTAATCTCACCGTTAGTACTGTATGTTGCGTTTTGGATACTCAGCTGTACACTTGCCTCAGTTCTCAACAAAGACCTCTGATTTCAGAATAAGATTCTTGTCTTTTTTTTCCACTGCTGTGTTAACATTAATAATTATAAGGATAACAAGAAATCAGTTCTTTCTTTTTGGCTGTTTATGATATTATACTAACCAGTCTGAGGTGTTAAAGTAAAGAGATTCCTCCCTCCCTTTCACTCGTTGTGTGCCATCCACTGATTGTCAGTCCCAAGCCTGTGATGTTAGGTGAGCCCATTAGTGTTTATGACTACAAAATAATTCCTTTTAAATTCAGTAAAACTTAATTCCATTACTCCTGTAACAGTTACATAAGGAACTCTACGCATACAACTGCTACTGAAATTCCTGACCACCTTACCTAACATACATACATGAAATCACATGTTCGTTGTTACTGTGCTGTTTTGTCTTTTCTAGTTTCCAAATAAAACAGTAGCCCAAGTTGCCTGCAGTATGTTGAACATGCTGATTCATTATGTGCATAGACTTCAAGTGTACCAGGCTGATTCACCTTTGAGAATTATTCAAGTAAGTACTTTTTTAAAAAATTGAAAATTGTGATTGTTTTAAATTTCGTAGTCAAATTTATTTTACTGAAATTAAAATGCTAGACAGAATATTGAGAAGTATGTTTCACAATGTGTTAGTGCGTTATAAAGATTACCTGATAGAACATTAACGGCCTAGGGTCACATCACACTTGTTCGTTAACTCCAATATTAACATACAAAGTGACTATATCATGTATATTTTTTCCTCCAACAGGATTTTGTCATTATTTACATGAGAATATTATCAATAAAGTCCAAACAAAAATTTATATTAAATATCTGAAAGCAGCTATTTAATTTTAGTGAGAAGGTGCTTACTGAAAATATGAATCTGCAGTTGTATTTTGCTTATCCATGTAAGTGTTTCAGTATAAAGAAATGCATTTATTTTAAATACACCTTTATTTAGTAGGGAAGTAGACTATATCCTTTGTGAGTCTGAGCAACAGAGAAGGGGTATTAGTGTCTCCCAGGTGACTGGAAAGGGAATTGATTGGAAACTTCTTACGAGGAATAGCAAGCATTTCTCTGCTCCTGTACAATCATGTTGTTGATTAAGAGGAGGCAGGGTGTTTACAGAGTCTAGCAGTTCAAAGGAGCAATGGGGTTCAAGCAGCCCCCGTACACAGCCCTCACTAGGCTCTTTCCTGCACCCTACCTTGTCTTGAAATAAGTTTGCTTCCTGCCTGAATATTTGGAGTAGCTGTGTAGTTTTGCTGACCCTAACGCGCCTACATCAGTCAAGCGTAACATATCCTTTCAGTGTCTTCAGGGAAATTCTAAGTAAGTTTAATATTAAAAAAAAAAAAAAAAAAGTTTCTGTTTAGCCAGAGGCACTACTTACATGGACACAGTAAAAGTATGGTTATGTTTCTCAAACATTTATGAATTTTTTCCACAAAGAAATCTAACAATTGTTAGAAGTCATACCTTTCACTATTCAGCTTGCAAAAAAAAAAAAAAAAAAAAAAAAAGTGGCAAGGAATAGTATAATGTGGCTCAAAATAATTTATTAGAATTTAACCATAAATCTAGTATTGTGTCACGTTTACCTTCTTAACAATTATTTTTAACTTAAATATTTAAACTATATTTTTAAAGAAACCATGCTATATTTTCCACAGATTCTAATAGCAACTATTACGCATCTGCTACCCAGTACGGAAGCTTCCTCTTATGAACAGGATAAGAGGGTAACTGTTTTTCATTGCTTTTTATTGTGGCAATCTAATTCTGAAGGATTTATGACATAGCTTTATTATGAAGTTTGTTAAGATTTGCCTTAAAGTAGGGATTCAGTTCTTCAAGCGTAATACAGTATAGTCTTCACAAAATTACAGCAGATACTCTTGTATGCAAGTGAATTTCTGAAGGATTTATAGGAAAATATGCATTTAAAATTAATTGAAATGTATTGGTTTTAATAATTGGAAAGTTTTCCATCTTTTTTCTGTATCCTAAATGAACTGAAAAGTGGAATAATGCAGATTTTTCAAATGTCTCATATAGTACAAATATATTATGACTTGTAGAGAGTGCATTTATAAGCTTTTTATAAGCTTATGATTTTTTTGTGCTCCCCAAGAAGAGCCAATGATAGTCATCATCCTTCAAAATGATTGCTGTCTTTTCATATTCTCAATGGGGCTGAGACCCTTAGCTGAGATGGGCTCTCTCTTCATCTATCTGATGTTCACAGTAGTACTTTCTGCCTCCTGAAAGCTACACCTCTTCTCAGTCATTTGGCTTTGCTGTCGGCGAGAACTGTGGGAAGCAGTGACTGTTTAAACTTGGGCACTTAGTGCAGTTTGCCACTGACAGCTTTGTCATTCAGGGCCACCCAACCCAGTGGAAGCTAAAATTCATCTGTTGCTCATTTTGGCCATCAGAGATAAATTGGTGGCTAGTGTGGAACACAGCAGTATGCCAAGCTCACCACCCTTCCACTTGTGGATGGTTCCTGCAAGTGAAGTTTCCTCATGATACTGATCGTTTTATGTCAAATACCATAAAAAATTGGCTTAGCTAGTTTGGCAAACTTAGGCCTGACGGGTTTCTTAAAAATTGACTTGATATAAAAATACTCAGAGCCCTTCATTGTGTGGCTTATTAGACAGTGCCTCTGCGATACAAAGTTGCAGTGTATTATATGAAATGAGTGTGATGTTTATATGTCTTATGATAGTAAATTTTTAGGTGGGTTTTCTTTGAAATACTTTCATTTAACTTGTAAAATATTTTGAAGAATCTTGCAACTCTTTATCTGAGCTGTTTTCTCTTCCACAGCTAAGTTTTTAAAATTATAAATAATTATTTGAAGCCAGACAGTTATTAATTATTTGGTGTTTGTAAGTCTTAATCTGATTCTGTTCTAGATTCTTTAAAATATCCCCTAGAGGGAGTTGATTCTTTCACTGAGTAGCCTACAAGAGAGAAAGCAGTTAGATTTCTTTCTTATGTTACCTGATGCTGCAGAGTGATATCGACAGATTGTGAAGGAAAAGCTGAATTACTTATAAAGCACTAAATGTAGATTAAATAGTTGAGTCTTGTGTAATCCTTGCTTCACTTTACAGTGACGTTTATGCGCAGAATGGTATGTCAGCCTTACTTTGTACGTGTGTAATCTGTCATTTTAAAAACAACGTCCTACAGATTAATTTTGCAAAATTGTAGTTATCAACTTGAGCACAATATCTACTCACAGACTCTTTGTGATGAGAAGCGGTTATATGAATGATCTTTGTTAAACGTCTCAATAGATGGAGTTTTTACTCATTATATGGGATTTGAACATACAGTGGCTTTTAAACATTATTGCGTTAGATTGACTTTCTACTGAAGTTAATTTAAGAAATGAAAGTAAAGCAGAAAAGTGGAATAAAGTAATAAATGTGAAGTAGCAGGTGCTCCTTTAATTGATTTGGAATTAAAAATGTTTCTTACAGTTGGTGGTCTCTCTACTTCTGTGTTTATTGGATTGGATAATGGCCTTACCATTAAAGACCTTGCTGCAGCCTCTTCACTCTACAGGAGCAGAAAACGATAAGACTGAAAGATCTGTTCTTAATTGTATATATAAGGTATGTGTTTCTTTACTTACTGAATGAGAATTACTAGGACTAGGAATTTGGACTTCTGTCTTAGTTTTTGTACATTTTACAGTTAACTGCTTAATCTTTGGTATATGTGGAATTGTTAATTTTACCTCACATTTTGTGATGTTATTTTTTGTGTGTCGTACCAATAGCAGACACTACTGCTGTAGTAGACCAGTTATACATTTAAAACAGATGAGGCTATAGCCGTTATGTACCAGTCTGTTTTATTTAGCAATAATTATTGTCTTCAGGGATCTTTAAGGACTCAGAAGAAACATATATACTTTTTTTTGCAAGGGAGAAGGATTAAGCCTTAGACCTAGCCTATGTACTTAAAGAAGACAGGAGATCTAAAAATAAAGGTAGCTTAGTGATTTGTTGTAAGTTTTGTTTCTTGTGTTAACTTTATTGTTAAATTGCACTTCAGTGCAGACCCTTTTTTAGGAATTTTCTCTGCAGGCCTGGATTTGGTTCTGTAAATGTTAAGCATTTGAAATTATCCAGTATTTTATCCTGCCTACCTGCTTTTAACAACTTAATTAGAAAATGCAATTAGAAAATCAGAAAATAAAGCTAAACTTCATTTCTTATAAAAGTCCCGAGCAGGAATTTCAGTAGTTATTACCATGAAATCTTGTTTTTGTTCTAGGTTCTGCATGGATGTGTCTATGGATCTCAATGTTTCAGCAATCCCAAATATTTCCCTCTAAGTCTTTCTGATTTGGCATCTGTCGATTATGATCCTTTTATGCATTTGGAAAGCTTGAAAGAACCAGAACCACTACATTCCCCAGACTCAGAGCGGTCTTCTAAACTTCAGCCAGTCACTGAAGGTTTGTCAAATTGCCTGAATACGTTTTCTTTTAAAAAGGTTTTATCTTGGTTTCCAGTATTGAAGTGTTTGTCTAAAGCATAAGTTTTAAATTATGCTTAGACACTAGGTAAGGACCATTAGCGTAGAATGAGCTAACATAATTTTCAGCAATTACTGTTCGATTAACTGAAATAAGTATCTTCTGAACAACATGAAAATCAATTTGATATAGATTCTTCTGTTCTTTGTCTCAGTGAAAGTGTTAAGTTCAGCAACATGGATAAATGTTGTTTTTCAATTTGCTTTGGGCAAATTAATTTTTTTATCTTAATTTTGTTCCTTTTTGAAGAATTTTTTTCATATCTGAGTTTGCAATATTGAAAACTTCCTGTGACTTTTTTTTTTTTAACCTATCATAATTCATTGTGGATGTGTTTGTACTTTGGAAAACCCTGGAGTTATCTGGAAAGAGAGACATTTTCTGTCATCCACTTGGAACCGTAGCAGACTTGGGAATTAACATTTTCTTCAGAACACTAAAATAAAAATAGGAAATTCAAGACACTAAGATACAGAGAAGTGGCGTACATTGTACAGTGTATCCAGTAAATATCAAATGGCTTCATTGGGAATAAAATTGAAAAAGATGAGATTAAGACTGATAGCGGAAGCTCTGTGTAGTGCTATTCTCCCTCCATATTAAGTTGTTCCATTTAGGCTTCCTTATAGGTATTAAGAACCAGATAAATGCAGAAGCTCTTTGTAGCAGCTGTGTGCTAACAGCAGGTGATTTTGTGGTCTGTAGTGACTACGTGCTGTTTTTTATGTAGAGAAAATGGCTAATCATTGTGCCCTTGTCTAAGGCATGCTTCATCATCCTCAAGTACTTTTTTGGCCAAAGAATTCTAAACATAGAGCTGTCCCCTAATAAGCTCAGTATTGGATTGAACAAGTCGGATTTGAGAACTATTGGCAGGAGGAGCTGTAATTATTAAATTTACTGAAGAATGAAGCAAGGTACTGTAGTTGGCTTTTTGTCAAATGGCTGTGGTCTTATTAGTAAAAAGTAATCATCCGCTGGGTCAGAATGAAAGAGGCTTCGAAGGATTCATTCTGTCCTAATTACAGTCTCACCTATACATATTATGTAAAGCTAATATTTAAAGCATTTGCCAAAATTAACTTCCACTGCATGCTCTATTACAGTGTAGTGAATTGTAGTAGCTTTTTATGCCTGGCATCTTTTGTATTCTGTAATAATCTGTAATTATGGGTTTGCAGCAAATGCTGTGTGGCTTGTTTAATCTGACAATCTGAAAAGACAACCCTGAATAGATTTCTTTTTAAATGAATGCTAGTTGCATAAAGCCTTAGCATCGATATCTTCATTTTGCATTTCCATATATGATTGGTTCTTTTAGGATTTCTTGTTAAATTTCTAACTAAAAGCGATTTCAGAAGTTCCTTTTATCTCCCCAGGTAAGTTAAGGAAGCCCCATATGTTTTTAAAGTTCCAGGGCTCTGGAATTGTAAGTCAGACTGTGAAATTTAATTGGCAAAGTACAACATTGTAATGCAACCCCGGCCTTGCAACCTTGGCACTTCTAGCCCACGTTGCCAGGCAGAGAATAAAATTGGCAGTGTTTAACCCGTCACACAGCATCTGTTCTCTCTGGTATTGCTGGAAGAGTGATAGGAGTAAAGTTGGTAGGTAACAACCAGTCTGGGGCTTAATCAATCAATAAAGGGGTCAATTAGTGCAAGACAGCAGCACAGCAGTATGCCAATGGGTCAACCTCTTATTCAGCAGAGGAAAAGTGTTATCATGAAATCTTCTTGAAGGAATGGAAATGGGTAGGACACCAGTTGTAGAGAAATAGGGGAAATTATACAAAAGAAAGGAA